GTAGCAATTGCGACACCCAATCGCAAAGTAAAATCGTGTGTGAAAGCTCACCAATAGTAGTCGATATGTAATCGATATCGCAATTGTTACCCGTTGCGATTGGGTGCTACAATCTTTATTACTCTCGATTACTCGGAATCTGATCGCAACGAATCACAACGAATTCCACAGGCACTGTTTGGCTGAGGTCAGGCAACATAGGCCTAGACACCGGAGGCCTAGGCCCTAGAATGTAAAGTTTGTCTGTGGTGGTCTGAATGCGTTCGTTGATTGCGATCGGGAGTAATCAGTTTTGGATTACCACCGACTACATCGCAACCGATCGCAAGAGAGTGTAGTCTGAATAGGGTATTAATTAGCTAATTATTAATATTATGAGAATAATAAAAATGTGATTTATAACTACAATTTATTAATATAGGCCTATTTTACATAATAAATAAAAAAAAAGAATGGTGTTAAGATTTTTTTTCTGGTCAGAAATGTGCACTAAAAAAACATGCAAATTTCAATCGTGATTTTCTCCAAAAGTGACTTTTGGCGTATTCGCCGGTTAGTGGAGAACAGCGACGGGATAATGGGTAGGGCCCTTTACTGTAAATAAATACTTATGCTTATTGTTTGTTAAATATTGTTTTAAATGTATTTTCGTAAGACCGGGACTGAGGATAGGCCTACGTTAGTGCCGTAATAACGGCGAGTGTTTTCACAAGGCTTTATTAAAAATGACGTCACACCGTTGGCGGAATTTTATTGGATGATGCAATTTACCATACATTTAGCAAACGGAAGATAAGATTCGGTACCGCGGGGATATTTTTTATTCAATAATTTAAATTTAGTGCTTTGCGGCTCTCACTGATGTCAAATAATGATACTGTACTCTTTTACCCTGTAAGGGGACACGTCTCCCCACATATTTTTAAGGGGGAGGGGTTTGTCAGCCACTTTTCGACCGTAATGTAATTTCATAAGTCAAGAAGATTCCTGAAAAGTGTTGAAATGAACTGCAAGTTTGAACGAAAGGGTGCTGTACCACCAGAATACATCTTATAATACCCCTTTTACACTTCAAGCAAAACTCCGGACACAACCCAGGATTTTGCAATACCCGGTGTCTGCTCACAAACATCTGACCTATAGGCCTAATACACGACTCGAGTGGGCGCGTCTTATTATAATTTTAGAAGTATGACAAAAAGCGTGTAAAGATAAGAGTGGTTTTTGGCACAAATACATCAAAAGACAATTTTAGAAATTTTTATCTTACTGTAAATGTTAAATCACAAAAATTCTATGATTGCCGAAAATCGCTGATAGAAAATCATAAGAAATTTCTTGGCGCTTCATGCCTATGGTGATGTGATGATGATGAATTTTACTATATAAGAGTATTATTTCCAGTCATCTAGAGGTACTATTTCTCCAAATCTTCAAACCTCAGCCTAACCATGGTGGGACTGAGGGCGGTGTGGAATCATGTTTTTGAAGTAGTTAAAGTAAATTAAATACCTGTAAATCAAATGTTTTAAATTTTTATTTTCTATGGTGACGCATCTTTTGAGTTGTTTACTTGTTCTGTGCTTGGGTTAGGTAATGATCATGGCTGCCTGTAGGTTGTGAGGTGCCTAAGTATGTGGGGTGCAGGGTTTCGTATCTGCAAAGGCGCTTTATAAATGTACTGACTGGATTGGATTGTACACAGATTAATTAGATCTCTATGATTGCCAAAAATCTCCGATAAGAGATCATGAGAAATTTGTTTCCGCTTCATTTTGACTATAGTATAATGACGTAAATTACGTACCACAACGGTTTCGACCTTTATCAAAGGTCATCATCAGGCTGTCTCTTATACACATCTAGATGTGTATAAGAGACAGTTATCAGGTGATTTTATCAATAGAATAAAACTATAGGGTCTAATATGAACAATGGAAGGTGGATGCTCCCCATGCCACGATATACAATACATAATAAACAACTATATGAAGTTGTTAAGTTGCCTGTCCTGGGGCGCACTATGATTTTTGTTCACAACCTGGTAACACTGAAATTCGATGCCTGAACTTATTAGCACTTTGCTACTCCATTATTGACATAACATCATTAACAATAATACTCCAAGACCTGGATCTCTATATTGCTTAAATGCGGTCAACAGAATATTTTCCTGTAGGCATATATATTAATACAAATATATTAATAGAAGACAAACAACACTTTACAAACTAATACACTTTATTGCTACAAGAACTTTCGACTACACAATGGTCTTTTATCAGGTGATTTTATCAATAGAATATAACTATAGGGTGTAATATGAACAATGGAAGGTGGATGCTCCCATGCCACGATATACAATACATGAACTTGTTAAGTTGCCTGTCCTGGGGCGCACTATGATTTTTGTTCACAACCTGGTAACACTGAAATTCGATGCCTGAACTTATTAGAACTTTGCTACTCCATTATTGACATAACATCATTAACAATAATACTCCAAGACCTGGATCTCTATATTGCTGATCATCAATTGCAAGTTGATACTAAAGTCAAATTACCGAGTGATTATTCAATCAGATTTAAAATTGGGTAAACACATTGAGCTCATGCTCCAAAAAGCTATTACCGGTACTGTAACAAAAAGTTATTACTGCTTCGTAAACAAGCTGAATCAAACATTCAAGAACTTGTGTATAAAGGCTACATTTGCCTTATATTGAGGAATGAGAAGACATGGACATTTTGGTAAATCTACGGCTAGATTTAATAAAAGCCCCCTTCCTTATCTCACAAAATTAATAAACTCATAAAATACGAAAGTATAATACATACTCCAAGTATTGAAATACACGCCATCGTGTTGGGATTCAATATTTCGACATTAATTATGTCATCATCAGGAATGAAAAATTATCCATATTAGCAAGCTTATATGCACTAGTACCAAAAGTGTTTAACCAATCAAAACATTACTGTACCTCTAGTGGGTGACATAGCAGTGATTTAAACAAAAGATCAAAGCATTCTTACTCTAATGATCAAAGATACCTACAAAAACAAAGAAAGCTCTTTTGAAGCTCTGAGCCCATTGTTAAGCAAAGGGTGTAGTCTACGTATAGCGAACGCTTCTTTAAACAATAGGATAGACCAGTTTCGGGAGCTGTCAATAATGCTAGTACTAGAAAATATTAAACCTAATTTATTACTTACATTAAAGACGACATTATCATTTTCAAGTATACCCTGTAATCCTAAAACAAATTGGGAATGCCTCACAGTTTTTTAACATGATCAAATATAACACTATCAGATCGTGAAGAATGTTCTTTAAGTCTAGTTATTAAGCTCTGTCTTACCAATAATAGTGATTATATTTGTAAGACAGATAGGTGCTTAATAACTAGACTTAGAGGAGATAGGGGAAGTTACGCGGTGGCCAGGGGAGGATTTAGGGGGGAGGGCCGGCCCCGCTTTCCCCCTCCTTTTTGGGAGGAAAAAAGGGGAAAAACGAAAAAAAAAAAAAAAAATGAAAGTCCAGAACGCCTCAAATGTCATTTTCGGGCGTCTAAAACACAAAAATTTCGCGGGGGCCTCTTAGGACAGTGTTGTCTCGATCGGTTTAACTTTCGTCCCCCTTTCGGCATCCCCCCTCCCTTTTGGACATCTCCGGATCCGCCCCTGTTGGCGATTAGCAGAATTAATATAAAAAAGAATTCTTTCCGTTCATTGCGAAGGTACAGTACACAGCTTATGAAGTATTTGAGTGAGACTTCAGACTATAAGGCTTGTTTACACAATGACGAATACAATCAACGATAAAAAGTTAAAAAGCAATTGTTCATATAGAAAATAAAAGAAATAGGATAAGTTTTCACTCTAGCACGATTCGATAACGATTGATCGTGTCATACGATAAAAAAAAATAATTTCACAAATCAAATCAAATGATGTCATCATGAGAACAGGGGCGGATGCAGCCCGGTAAGAAAGAGGGGTGTGAATGTCCGAACTAAGTGACAGTCGGAGGAAAGAGCCCATGATAGGTGTGCAAGGGGAGATTCTCCCTTAAACCTATAGCATCTTCATTAATTTGAGTTGATATTTTATTGATTTTTAATATTTAGCATGGTAATTTTCTGATAAGCTTTACAAAACAATTTTTTTACAAAAAAAAAAAATAGAGGGGGTGTACACCACCTACGCCCCCTCTAAATCCGCCACTTAGAGAAAACGAAAAAAAATATTTTTCACTATTTTATCGTTTTTCCATGATTATAATGTCATTTGATTAAAATATTTTTTTATCGTATACGCGATAAATCGTTATCGAATCGTGCTAGTGTGAAGACGTCTTATATTTATTTTATTTTCTATATAAACAATTGCTCATTAGCTTCGTATCGTTGATTGTTATCGTCATAATGTAAAACAGGCCTTTTAAGGAACTTATGAGTTATGAACAAGGGTAAATCAATTTCCCTGTAAGGATTTTGAGTTTTATCTTTCGAAATATAGTAAGAAATTTGACTGAAACTACGTTAAACTTGTTTTGCAGGAGCCTAGTGGTTGAACCTCAAGAGCATTTGCGCAGACTTGGAACGCTATGTGTTCTTGAAAGGATTTCTTTTTTTAACCGAGCACTCATTGCGACCTACGGTCGCGTTGCGTTCTTCATAGAAATAGTAGAGTATTTACGAAACAGGACGAAGAACGCAACGTGACGTTTTTTAATGACGATCTGTTCAGGCTGCTACCGACAATCTGCAGACGGCGTTGCGTCGTCTAGCGCTCAGAGGGAATATCAATAGGTAATTTTCGATGCACGACGTTAACTTTAACATTAGTACCCAACATGTACGTTGAGCACGTAAAATCCTGAAATTAACGTACTCCGCGCAAAGCAAGATGACTAAATTATGACGTCATCCGTTAACGTTAGGTTAACGTCGTGCACGGGAACCAGTGCTCTAATAAGTGGACATCGTTGGTGGCGCCAACAACATAAACAAAAAGCACTCGTTTTCAAAAAGTATGTCGCTTGCCGTCGCTTGCTTTCTGGATGAAATCAAAGAAATTATTATGGTGGCGTAGGCCTAGCAGATTAGATAGATATTAAGCCTAGGCTAAGCCTACAGGTAGCCTTTCTATTGTTGAATTGAATCCATTATCGTCTCAGTTACAGGACAAGGCCTACGCCTTCTCTACATACTAGGCCGCCTAATCCGACCTTAATTAGGCCCGGGCCTACCAACCGTACTTGTTGGTAGCTGCCTAAGTAAGCTAAGGGCCTACTCTAGGCCCTACTTACTTCAACAATACTACTAACTAGGCCTAGCCTAGCTAGCCTAGGCTCTGATAACTTAGTAGCCTGGCCCTATGCCAAGGGAGGAAGGCGAGGCCTAGCTAGGCCCTGGGCATTCATTTACGAGGGCCAACAATAAGCCAGTGTAGGGCTAAGCAATTATAACTCCATGGGCTAAGAATGTCGTGACAATGGACTAGGCCTAGTAGCCCAGTTAGTAGTAGTAGTAGTATACCAGAATACCTGTATACCATTACAACCTAGCCTAGGCCTAAATTTCTATACGATAATTTAAGCCAGGCTAAGCTCTCACGTCTTGCCCTTGAATGTACCTGGTCCTTGAATAAAATTTACATACCCCTACATAAAATTAAAGTCTGCTGAGCATAATTTTCTGAATCAGTCGGCCTGTCTGGAAAATTTGGTACATCGAACCAATTTTGGATTCCATATTAGCTGCTAAAAGTATTCTGCATGATAAGCTAAAATCGATCAGGCTTTAGTAAATTGCAACTAATGTCTTTTTAGTATATAATGTTATTCTTTTTTGTTTTCAATACCGTAAAACCTCGAATTGAAGCCCAGAGGGCTTAAACTCAGAAAAAGCCCCCCCCCCCCTCTCTTAATTTTGCAAACTTAGCCTCGAAGGGAAGCCCATGAGCTTTTTTCAAGGTAGCATAGGCTACTGGTCGAAATAGTACAATGCATACACTGTACATGAATTTCAAAAACAAAATAAATTAAAAACAAGCTTGGTTTATACAGTAGTTTAGGTGACTTCACTGCATGATAAAGATTGAAGTTACAGTGGCCTTATTTAATTTCCAGAATTTACAGCATTCATTTTGAAAAGAATCCCCCTGTTTACTTTGCAAAAGTAGCCTTGAAAAGAAGCCCATTCAAATTTTGCTAAAAAAGAAGCCGAGGGCTTCAATTCAAGGTTTTCCGGTGTTACATCATAAATATCTCCTCTTTTATTAAATTATATGTTTTCTGCAATTACTATAATTTATGGCCACCAAAATTATGACAGTTAGGATGATATTTTTGCTTCGCAGTAGCATGTCAGCAGTCAGAAGCTCTTACTTTTGAATGAAAATCCAAAAAGGCAACTTTCGGAGTCGATTTTCATATAGTTCATTTAGGCCTAGATCTATGTTGGAGAATACTAAAAAAAGATTTCCAACTTGCCCCAAACTCGCCTCTTACAAACATTCCCACAGAACCTACAAACTCACTCCCTTACAAAGTCGCCTAGTTACTAATATAGTTTATTTAATAAGGTAGGTTGACATATGGCCTAGCATACCTGAGAAGGAAAGAAGCTCTCGATGTCCTCCGTCTTGATAGCTTTATTTTTCTTTTATAGATGCCCTGTTGATGTGGGGATTCTTCAATGATAAGTTGATTTTGATTTAGAGTTTTCATTTCTTGGTGAACAATGGCTGCAGATCCTAAGGTTGTCCCACTTCAAAATTTACTGGCGAAAAAAGAACAAGAATGGAAAGAATTACAAGAATTGAGGGCACAGTCATTAGAGGAAGCTTTCAAAATTAAGGACAAACAACTACAAGATGAAAGACTGAAGTTTCAAGAACTTAAAGAGGACTTTAAATACAATTTGATGCTTTTGCAAGAGCGAGATCAAGAGCTAACCAAAACTGAGGTTTTGCTGCATAAAGTGAAAAATGCTGTCAATGAAAAAGTTGCAGAGATCAGCAGTCTCAAAATTCAGTTGGATGAGATGAAGATGAGTGTTGCCAGAGAAACAAAGGCAAGGGTAGATCTCCAAGCCCACTACCAACAGAGATTGAAAAGCAGAGAACAGGATCTACTGCGTATCAAAATGTAAGTTTAAAGTCCTATTCAGTCATTTAATTAATTTTATGATCAAAGACCGACAGATGAATATAAATTATTGATTGTAATTGGATTGATTGGTTACATATTAGCATAATTTGTTAAATAATCAAAATGATAAAATATGGTAAATACACACCTCTAGACAACTGCTACTGTAGTCCCGGACTACACCCATTTAAAAAAAATCAGCACAATAATGCTGCGAGTTAGGGGCTATTTATCACATACTCTACGTCACTACACACGATTCCTTAAGTCTAAATGGATAAAATCAATTTTTTATGTGTAGTCATTCAAGAATCTTTCAAAAGCTTTAAAAAACCTACTGCAAATATTTTGTAATAAATTCCACCATACTTCATTTGTTTTTATACTTTGTAGTGCTAATGAGTCCGAGGTTAAAAAAGAACGCGACAACATTGATGACTACAAAAGGAGCCTGCAGCGGCAACTTCAAGAACTGGAAGAAGAGCTTGGAATCCAGAAGCAAGAACTTGCATTTGAAATGGATGAAGTGCTAAAAAAACGGGAGAAAGAATGCCGGAAGAAGGTAGATGAGATGAGCTCATCTCTACTGGCCTACGAAGTGAAAGTAATCATAAATGTTATATTCTTGCCAAGTCTTCCACAGTTATACATTCTTTGTACATTATCTATTTGATTTACTATTTAACCTGTTTTTGAAAGGAATTGAAATAAACATATCAGTTTATAATCAAATTCAGTATGTTAAAATTGGGAGGATTTTGATATTAATAGATGTACTATTTTGATATTAATAGATGTAATGAATTAAAACTTTTCCTTGTCCCCGACAGGGATCCAAGCAGGGGTTCACAGGTCCCTGATGGGGGTCCTTTTCCCCCTGGACCCCCGCTAGCGCCGCGCCTGGCAACAGGTCATTTTTAACGATGATCTGTTCAGGCTGCAACCGACAATCAGAAGGCGGCATTGCGTATTCTAGGACTCGCAGGGAGCGGAGCTGGATAATTTGGCCAACAGTCGTACGATGCAGTGAGTGCCCAGCTTTAGTGAATAAGTAGTCTGTAAAGATTTTTACACATTACAAATTCATTCTCTTTTTATAAAAAAATTTGATTTGTAGGTTAAATTATTAAGCAGAGAATTAGAATTAGTTCGACAAGAGAATAAGAAATCCTCAAATCATCTACAAGATGCTGATGCACATAGGATGGAAAGAGAAAAACAATTGAAACAAAAGGAATGGGAATTAGAAGACATGAAAGGAATGAAAGATGCCAGGTAAGATACAAAAAAAACCTTTTCTCTTAATCTATATAAGGGCATGTAACATCTATATAAGGGCATGTAACATCTATATAAGGGCATGTAACATCTATATAAGGGCATGTAACATCTATATAAGTGTATGTAACATCATCAATAATGAAGAATGCACTGCTGAGCAAGACTTTTTTATACCTTGTTTTGTGAACTTTTTTTTAAAGATTGTCAAGAAGAGGGGGGTAAAAAATAACAGTTTTTCTTATTTAGCAAATAGTTTTGCCAAAAACATCCAAATGGAGGAGAAAATAAAAATAAAATTTTATTGGTGAATGTAAATAGTGTAGTAATTGGATGGTTAAATGGATTATAAATTAGGAATAAATAATTAGGAAGAAATATACATATATTATTTTTGGAGATTTCAGGGCAGTGGTGGGTGTAGTAAAAAATAAATAACAACTTTTTTCTGAAATTTCCTTTTTTATGGCGACGGGTGCACTAAAACCTAATAAGGTATAAAAAAAAGTCTCATTTGATAATGAAGAATGCATTAATATAATGTGATGGTTGAATATACTGCACAAAGTGTTTTCTTGACTGGAATTGAGTAAGTTTTCACACCAACTAAATCCACCCCCCCCCAACTCCCCCTATTTGTTGGCTTAAATATTTACAGCATTTTCTACTCAATTGATTGGCAAAAGCCAACTTTGCCTGGAAAGATAACTACATTGTGAAACATAATGTAGCATATGGAAATAATTAATAGTTTTTAATCATACACACAGTTTTTCTCATGTTACTGGCTACATAATCTGGTTTTTTAAGTGAATGAAACATTTATATTTGGCAAGGTGATATTATTTAATTTTATATACTTTTAAAGGATCTCTGAATTGGAGAGTGAACTGCAATTAAAGGAGGCAACTGTTAAGAAAGCGTTAGAAGATTATCAACGAAGGTAAGATAGCATAGATACTCAGACAATTCCATTGTGCTTGTAAACATTTTCATGCACTGCTTTCATAAGTCTTTATGCTTTGTTTAATAATACTTTAGCAGAGGATCAGCATTAGATCATCACAACATGGGGTTTTCTAGCATGGTAGGCAGGCTCAACACATTAGGTTTTGCTGTCGGGCTGCACATGGTATTCACTCTAATTCCAATTATCCTTGCTCTGATCTTTTTTAATGTCCATCCATATGTCATTACACACAAAAAACTAATTATATAGCTGCATATATCCTGCTGTACTTAAAGTTCTTCCTTTTTGTATCCATTTTATGAATGTTATAAATTTGTGTTAATATATATATATATATACTGTCTCTTATACACATCTAGATGTCTTCTATTTTTTGTCTTCTAATTATAGACATGCAGAGCTTGATAGATATGCAAGAGAAAAGGAAGCGGCTGTATCTGCTATGAAATCTAGTCAACATGAAATGGAACAAAAACTGAAACATCAACTGAGAGAACTACAGACACAAGTTGAGGCTTTGCAAGTGGAGAAGAGAAGAATGGAATGGTCCAATGCTGATACAGTTCAAGAAAAAGATAACCTCATCAATAGGTTACTGTACTAGACAATTTTATTTGACAGCCTTAGTTTTAAAATCCTGTATGCTTATGGCAATTGTATGTGGATTGCACTCTCTGTCCGGAAATCCATGGAACGTTGTATATTATGCCACAACAGTTTTATTTGATTAGTTCTCTCCACCAGATAATTCCTAATTGGTTCTTTTTTTTTTTTTTGTTTACTACTACCTCATCAGAGTATTCTTATTAAAAATATGTAATCACTGGTTGCTTTTTTGTGTTTGAAAAGGCTTCAGAATGAGGTATCAGATGCCAAGTCACATTCAGATCTCCATCTTGCTAAGATCTCTAAGGATGTAGTTGCCAAAGATCTTGAGATCCAAGCTCTGAAAGAAGTCCAGGATGCTCTGCGAGGGGAACTTGCTCAGAGGAGAGAAGATGTGGAGAGGTACAAAAAAGAACTATCATTAGCCCTGGAAAGAGAAACTGCTAATGAGAGATCAAAAACACAGCTTGATCTTGACTGGCAGAGAAGGTGTGAAGCAGCTGAGAGGAATCAGTATGCCAGCTCAGAGGATCTTGTAGAGAGGTTATCCAGAGCAAGACAAGAGGTAGAGTATTAAGATTAGTTGCAGTCATGAGGTCGGAGTTTAAATCACTTTTTTTACAGTTTTTAGGAGGACGAGCTGTTTTTAAATCAATTTTAGTTCTGGAATTGACAATTGGTAAATTCTAAGGTAATATTCCTGCATGCTGTTCTCCATTCTGATCTCTCATTGGTCTGTTTCAAACCAAGCAGTAGACCTGTGCCTCTGCCTTCAGCTCCACCTTCTCTTCCTGTCCTCTCTGATGAATGGATAAAGCTTGTTAATGAGTAAGTTGAATGTGCCTGCAAGGCCCTCAGATGCCAACTATTTTCAAGCAGAGGCAGGGGTGAACTTGGTGTCTCACTCACAGACCAAGCACAACAATTCATGTTTTTATGTACAAGGTATATATTACAATTTTTCTCGCTAGTTAATTTACATTCACAGACATACAAAATTAATCAAATTAAATAAACTGCATGGTATATTATTGTAACACATACAAGCTCCAAATCATCTATATTCTAATTATGTTTAGAACATGTTTGTTTACTTTCTCAGGGGGAAGCAGTAATAAAGGAACAGCAACGTGAACTGGACCAAAAAAGTGATTTAATTCGGGCCCTTACAAGGCAGCGTGACCAGGCCTTTGCCACACTAGATAAGCATGGTTTAACTGTGCAACATAACTTGGTCCCCGTAAGTTTTTCACAAAAACATGCAAGCTATAAATACTTCTAAGAATATTACTTTATTTATTTAAGTTAATATGACTTTATAAGGTACTGTGATGCTTTGAACTGTAATACCATTCTGATGACTGTATTTACCCTAAATATTCCACAAAAGCTTAAATTCCCCTCCCAACACCAAATAATCACTCACCTGAACAAATTCAGGCATTTGTTCACCTTACTGTACCATTATAACAAGTACCAAGATAGTATCACTAATTAATAATGCGATAAGGCAACTTGTCTTCATTCAAACATACAAACATTCTAGGTCTCTGTCATGTGATTGGCTCTGATGAACCACATCAATAAGTTTTACTTACAATAAATTACAATTTTCTGTAGGCCACATTGATTTTCAACAGCTTTACAAGCATGAAAACTTTTCAAACTTTTAAACATTAACTATTAAAGATGTTAGAATACAAAAACGAATAAAGTTAAGCTTATTTTTAATAATTCATATTTTGGAGACTAGCTTTAATTAGGTAAATAATTTTAAAACTTGGGGGTTTTTACACCATGGGAAATAATTTCATAATAGATTTAAGTTTTTCATTACTGGAGTTATTTTGAATGAATCCATTTTTGTTCCAATTAGGAAAATGGATTGAATCCGGATGAAGGATCGTCGGTGGAAGACCTAAAGCAGCAAAACGAAATGTTAAAGAATGCAATCTCAAGTATGCGACAGGAAATGGAACAGCTGGGCAAACAAAGTCTACAGAAACAGCCACTAGAGGGCAGTTTATCAAATGATGGACCTATATCAGAAGGTAACATGATTCAAAACAAACATTTAGTTTCTTTTCTACGTAAAAACATTATATATATTTTGCAAAAAAAATAAAAGCTTATTACAAATTATATTATTTTAGGTCGGTCAGGTTTGGAAAATCTTTTGACTTACTGTATCATTTAATTATGTTGCCTTACCTTTCAGAATATGTTAAAATGATAGAGAAGGAATGCAGGGATTTGAAAGTCAAGAACAGGGCACTAAATGATAAAATCAACTTGGCTGGAAGATCAAAAGAAAAAGGGAATGATGGGATTATTCCTCCATCAGTGGACAATGCTTATATCCGACATCATATCCAATCATTGAATGATACTATCGGTAAGGATTTTCTTGAAATTTAAAGCCAGGCACTCACTGCATTGTGTGACGGATGTACGACTCCAAATCTGCTCCTCGTGAGCGATGACGATGTGATGACTTCTGATTTCCAGTGGCAGCGTGAACGCATTGTCACTGAAAAACCATTCGTTGCGTTCCACATTGAATCGCGTTGGCTGATGACCGTTGGATGCAGGGAGTGCCTGACTTTACACAGTAAACTTGTAATACCGTGTTTCTGTGTGCTAACCAAGTCAGCGAGCTATCAATTTTAGCGAGCTATTAGGTTAGGTTAGGTTATCAGGTTAGGTTTAACAAGCTATCAGGTTTAGGCCTGGCTTTCCTTCACTTTCTGTTAAAATCATTAAATATGAAATTTCATTTTTCTTCAGTAAAGTCACATTATAACTTATGATGTTCTAAGTAAGTTAAAAGACTGGGTTGAAAAAATAATGAGAAATGAAAAGTAGGAAAACCTGCTGCCCAGTGCCTCTAATCCTGTTGTTCCAAAGATTAATATTAAACCATTATATTTTAAGGAAAGAATAAACATTGTTATGCCTATTAAAGTGTTATTGTAATACAAAGTGTAGTTGACCATCAATGCAATATAATAATAATAATAATAATCATTGTCAACTTATATAGCGCATAATGTAAAATACTTCTATGCGCTAATAGAGCAGGAAGTGCGATAAATTATTAAAAGTTTCACCTAATAAATAAATAAATGAATATCAACAATAAATATAAATATACTATTACAATGTTAAGTTATGAATAATTTGAAATACAGTAATATCCATGCAATAGCACTTCCAACCTGAAAAATAGCTGTGAAAAATAATTGTTATAATCATTTTCTCATTTTTAGGAACCCTTAGGACTGAGAAGTTAGGCCTCACAGCTCAACTGAAAAAACAACAAATCCGAATAACTAGCCTAGAGTCCAGACTTTCGCAAGTGTCACAACAGGTATGTACGTAATAATGGAATTATATTACTGAATTACAATGTATTACAAACCTTTTTTTCATACGTAACTTTTTGCATTTTAATGATATTTTATCTTTTAATAATGTTGTATTTTGTACATTTTGTAGATCACTCGCAATTCAGTTATATTTTATAGTTTTGGTAATAAAAACAGAATGAATGAATAACTATTTTTCTATACTGTAATTATATATTGATACTGGTTACCACATCTTTTTTAAGGTACATACCCTAATCTGGAAAAAATGAATCTTATTTGCATTCCCAAAATTTGGAAGGGCCATCAGATTTTTACTCTTCCATTCCCTCATTAAATGGACTGTCCACTTATATAATATGAATTGGATAAAAATTTCTAATAATTTGCAGTGATGACTATATTTCAGAAATTTATGTATTTTTACAATTTATGTATTTATAAAAATTGATAAACTTGTCAAAATTATGGAATGTGCTTCTGTGTTTACCTACCTTGCCTTACAATCCAAAATAAAAGAAATAAAAGCCACATAATGAGACTTAGTTGTAAGGCATCAAAGAGACATACCGGTAGTTATAGAGCATCAAGGGTTCCAAACAATTAGCTGTCTCCTGAACTCCCCACACCACAACAGTCCCAAATGATCAGCTCATTATTCTCCAAGCCTCATAAAAAGACTTGGTTATAGCGTATCAAGGGTTTCAGAATTGCCTTCCACTCCGCATTCCTCACAAAGGGACTTGATTATAAAGCAATGAGGGTTCATATTGGTTAGGGGACCCGGACTCCAAATGGTAAGTTTTTCACTCCCAAAGACTCATAGAGAGATTTGGTAATAGAGCATCGATAGTACAGTACTAAATGAAGTGCTACGATGGTGGAATCACCAATACTGTAATGGTACCCGCAGTCATATCAGCAGAAAGTGGATTAATGAAACAATTAACATTTTCTTACAAGCCTACTACAAAGCAAGCAGAAGTTGACCAACTTCAGTATGACATCTCAACTCAAATGAGACGTCATGCTACCGAGGTTGCGTCATTCAGGCAGAGAATCGCTGATTTGGAGTTGGAACTTGCAGAGACACGGCGGGAAGCTGATGAATACTACAAGGGAGGACTTCAGACTAACCTTGAAGCCATGGCTCTTGGCAATCAGGTAATAATGGAAGTGAAGCTGAAATTATGTATGTCAATTTACTTATTATACCCATCCTAGGCACATTGTCAGCTAACCCCAGACCTAGCTTAAATCTAGTTTGAATCTCATGCCTGGCTTGTTCACACTACCTATGTTAACCTAACTTATTATTTTCAACTATTAATTTGCTCTAAGGAAATCTACATTAAAGTTTAATAAATTATCCACATTACAGGTATCAGCACTTAAGATGGATATTGCTGCCAAGCCACACGTGATACCTCACCAGGTAAGTTTAAAAAAAATGCTAGTGTTAATAAACTGCAATAAATAAATATGTGTTACCATTTGTATACATACGGTAAATATCGGTGGTTAGTTAAAGTAGGTAGACTTACAGGATATCTGTAAGTCTATGATGCATATATTTAATTTAATGTTATCAACAAAGCGACAAAACTAGCTTGTAGTTGTTCAATCAATTGATCGTTCCATTTATATGGCGCCATTCCAAAAAAGGTGAATTAAAAAATGTGCGTTGAGTAGTGATTTAAAAATGTGAAGTGAAGGTGGGTTTATTCCAGAGCCTAGGTCCAGCAGTGCTCTGCATGTATTTATCTTTGTTATATTCTTTCATATAGTCTTCATTTGTTGGTGAACTTCAGAGGGAGGTTGAACATCTAAGGAGACAGCTGACCACCAGACTATCACACAAAGGGCCTACAGGAGACAACTTGGTAAGGAAAACTAACTGCTTCAATGTAATAATTTATTTATGCAGTTTCTTCCAGGAAGCTTTACTAATTAAGAATAATTGCCTTGTATGCACATATGTTTTAAAAATATATAAATACTGTATTTGATGCCACATGCGATCTACATCATGTGACTAAAATATATGTTTTCTTGCTACAAAACAATATAACTATGATTACATACATACAGTATATACTTTTTCTTCTTAGCAATATACTTTTTCCCCTGAAGATGTATGATTAGCTGCTCAGTACATTTTGTGCAAACTAACATCGCACTATCAACAGTAGTACATTAAATCTAAAAAATGTATCTTGGCATTCCTTTTTTCAACTTAGCTGAGAGAAAAGTTAAGATCTGCTGCCAAACACATTCAACAATTAGCCAAAGAGCGGCAGCAACTGATAGAAATGGGGAATAAATTGAGAGCAGAACTCAACAAGTATCGACCGAGTAAAGGTAATTTCAACCACTTAGTCAATGAAATTATCATGAAATCAATCTGTAAATAATTCATTTTGATATAACCATTTAATGTTCTTGGCTTTTTCTCAATCAACCTAGATGATTTCACCCAATTTTCACAATGTTTATTATTACTGCTTTAGCGATAAGGGCGCTAAACATTGGTCATGTGTCAATATTTTTTTTCTTTGCCTTTGAATGACATTCCCAAGGCAAGAACAAAATTGTATGGAACTACTGAAACTGACCTTTATGGTGATTATCTCGAATATTATCTCACCAAGGATGCATCTCATTTTGTAGGGAGACCTCACTAAGTCCCTATTACTTCACAATATTATTATTATTAGACATATATTCAGTTACCAATGACTAGCGTGCCTAGTATGGTTAAACATACACATAGATTACAGCAACTGTCAATTTCCCTTGTCATTGGCTATATAGGCCTACACACATGCATCATAATTAGAATGATACTTGTAAACAATGATATAATAATGTGAGAATGTTTACGTAGATACATCTGAGAAGAGGTATGGGCAGCCAAAGCTTTCAACAAAGCAGATGAAGGATACATTCCAAAGAAAATTGGATGATGTTGAGCTTCTCCAGTATCAGCTTACTATGAAGGCAAGTATTGACAAAGAGTATAAAACTGCAAGAGGTCTGACTGCCCTGATTTTGTATGCAGGCAATGGAACGCTAAAAGTACTGCCACAAAATAGGGGCGCCCTACACATAATTTAGAAGCTCGTATACGTTGCTTGACTCTTTAAAAGGTCGCGCCCCTTCATGGAAGTACTTTTTGCATTCCAACGAATCCCCGGCAGTTGGACCTCTTGCTGTTTTATATTCTTTGGTACTGATGATAAAGATTCCAAGAATTATGTACCTAAATAAATAATAATAAAGAACACATATAAATTTGATGCCAACATTTATGTAACTAGTTCTGTTCCATTGAAGTAGAAAATTGATGTAATTTACAGTTTATCTTATATCTTGTAGGAACTGCAATATGCAAATAGGGGTTTACACCATGATGAAACACATGCTGAGGTAGTACAGGTGGAGCTGAGTTCATCCTCCGCATCAACATCCATACAGGAGAATGAAGAGGATAGGGAGCAATCATCATTCTTAGGTATGTTTTTTAGATGGTGGTGGTGATGATGTTGTGAGCAGCTTAGCTCAGTTGGCTTAACTGGTGGTAGCCACTGTGTGTGCGCTGAACCGTGGAGATCTTTTGTACCCGGGTCAATTCCATTCACTACTTTTATGTTTCAGCACACACGTTTAAGAATGCAGTACACTCCGTCGAAAAGAGTAGGAAATTGTCTCCCAGAGTACTGGCCAATCACCACCTGAAAATAAGTCTTCAGACTTTTTTTGGTTATCCTTGGTATTCACACATAAGTCCAATGTTAATAAATACTTATTCTAGTGCATAATGTGTTATATAATTTAATTAAACTTTTTTAAACATTAGTTATTGATGAAGGCATAATGAAAGAAAATTTTATAGCAGTCTTAACATACAACAAACACTTTCACAATATGATTACATATATCCAGTAAAAGTAGTGTTTAATAAAACTGTTTCTGTTTCAAATCATTTGATAATTTCTATTTGTTGAATAATACATGAATGAACTGATTATTAAAGATTGTAAAATCTACCTTGAAATATGGAATCATCCATTCCAGCAGCTTCATTACCATATCCATATCCTATGGTTATAGTTCCAGATAGACTCGAGAGGGACCAATCACAGCATGGACCTAGGTTTGCAGAAGCCAGTGACCAATTACAGCAAGGAACTAGGCCTATGGTAGCTGGTGATGCCACGATGTCAAATAGGGATGGACAGACTCCCCTACCTATGTCAACATTTGGAGAAGAGTCTCTAAAGGATGTATGGCAGTTATTGGATGATGGGATGACATTCATGCAAAGTCCAATGCCTACAAAACGAGATTGTAAGTTAAAATATTTTTAACAAATTCATTTACTATTTGGAAAGTATATAATTTCTATCTTGGGAGCTGATGTGCCAAATACCCAATAAAAAAAACCAAAAAAATAGCAACTTGTCACTCCTAATAACTTCTATAAAATGATATGATATGATAGATGTTCGTCACACTGCTTGTGTACTTGGGCAAGACAATTTATCTTCATTTAACTCTCTTCACCCAGGAGTATAAATGGGTACTAGAAGGTACCCATTCAGAATTAAATTGGTAGGGCTAATTACACGAATGAACTAGGAAAACTCCCCAGGAAGCCCGTCGTTTATGATTGATTCTGTATCTAATGACTAACGAAAAAAGCGCCTTGAGCTGTGTTTCCATAATTGGATATGTGTACTATATAAATGTTATCAAATAAATAAAATTTATTGTTTTATCATTGTATAATATAAGAATCTCAATAAGAACATTTTCGTTTTGTAGATGAGAATGATACAAGGCAGGACTTCAATCAGTTTACCCATGAAGCGCCTGCACACCTTGACATCCAAGGAGAAGGAAAGCAATTACAGCAAAAGCCTGTCGCTGAAAAAAGATTAATTTCAAATAAAGTGACGGGAAAAGTGCAACAGAAACAATCAAAAACAACTAAAATACGAAATTATAATATTAAAGATGATCGTGATGTGAACAAAGCAATGTAACTCAATGGACCTAGTCAAGTGACATAGAAATTTGTGATCTGTGATAACCACAGAACAGCGCCACACCCACTACATCAGGAGATAACCCAATTTTTTTTTTCTCAAAGTGTATGTGCATTATCTAAAATGCACATGGGCCAGTGTCGTACACAGGACCAAAAGCTTCTAATACAGTATTAGAATAAAAGATATGTGGAAACTTCACGCATAAAAGCTTTGTCTAAACATCTGTGTTAAGCTATTTACTATGTAATAAAATTCTTTTTTAAAGTAAGTTTGTTCATATTTATTGCTTTTCTTTCCAATTGTTAAAAATTTCACTGAACGCTTTGCACTACCATAAACAAATTTCAAATAAAAACCTAGAGAAAGCAAGGGGATACAAGTAAGACGAGACTTTATTTATACCTGGTCTAGCCGCAGCCCACAAATAATGATTTGAATAAAAATAAAATCTTATTTTTGGCCAATTACCACACCCACCACCATGAAGAATGAAATTTAGGAAAATAATAAGTTTTTCTTCCTTTTTACTATGCTCACAGCTGCATTGAAATCTCCTAAAATAAGATATGTATATTTCTTCCTAATTATGTAAATATAAAGTATTTAACCGACTGTTTACATTCACCAATAAAATAATTTTTTCTACTCCGTCTAAATAAGAATACAAACTTTTACTTTTATTTTTTTTCTGCTCTCCTCTGATCTTTAAAAAGTCAATTTTAGTATATAAAAAATTCTCACCTAAAGCGGAAAATAAACCACTTCTCACAGTGTCATTGTGTTGAACGTGTTTTGGGAGCGGTCCATGTCTACTGTAGCAGTCATAGAGAGGTGTTTTGTATGTTCCCATTATTCCACGACTGGGGCTGAAATGAACCGGAGCATCGGGGTAACCCCCCACTCTTTCCAAAAATGCAATAGCACACAAGCCAGATTTTTACAGTAATCTTGGAAAACTTGTTTTTACTAACCAAAACCAGCACCAATGTTTAGGCTGTTAGTTAGCAGCACCTCTGCCTTACCGCTTGGCCACTTGACTCGCCCAATACTAATATTAGCCCAAGGGCTTGTATCCTAAGTGGTCCCTAAACGAAAAAAAGAAACTGAAAAGCTAAGTGAAACGTAAGACTTCACCTGATAATATCAAGCTAATATTTTGAATAAAAATAAATACCAGCACTTTATTAATAAATATATTTTATCATCAAGCTAATATTTTGAATAAAAATAAATATAATTACAATAGTATTATAATAACAATTAAAAGTAGTTAGTTTTAGTTATGATATATTGAATTTGAATGACAAAATATTTTCTTGCCAATTGTAAATAATACCCTTCCTTTTTTCTTTGGAAATTCCTTATATAGACTTAAACAGAAAACAGCTAATAATCTTAAAAAAAAAAACAATTCATATCTTCATCATAAACAATATATATTTAATTACATATAGTGTTGGCCTAAACAGTTAAAAAGAACTTTTATATTTAAGCGGGTCATTCAGTCCTTCAGAAAAACCGAGGAAATCCAGGGGCGGATCCAGAGATGTCCAAAAAGGGTGGGGGGGGGAAGGAAAGTTGGCCGAAAGTGGGGCCAATCGAGATAATACTACCCTGGGGGGTTTCCCCCGCGAAATTTTTGAGTTCTAGACGGCCTAAAATAACCTCTGAGGCATTTTGAGCGATCAATTTTTTCTTTTTCTTTCTCTTGTTTTTTTCTTCTTTTTTTTTTTTTACCTTCTAAAAGGAGGGGCCGGGGCTGGCCCACCCCTCCCCAAAATCCGCCCCTGGAAGTCACGTGTACCCAATAATTGTCCCTCTAAAGGTGCATTTACACTGAATTTAGACCGGGGACGCGGTCTAAATTTTGCATCAGATCCGATGTTAAGTTGAATGTTGTTAAGTTGAATGATGTTAAGTTGAAAGTTAACAGTGAATAGAAAAGTTCACTCCCCTTTCATAACCTTGTTTTGTACTCTATTTAACCCCTGGCTATTTATATATGGGTGTATCTCATTTCCTTCTCGTTTCACTTCACAAATTTCTATTCATTTTGGGAAGTGGTGTGTCTGAATTGTGTAGAAGTTGTGTTAAGTACAGTATTATAAGTTATGTAGGGTCTAGAGTATGTCTACTGAAGTTTTTAGCATGATCAACCACACCAAAATTTACTTGGAAAATGTTTGATTTTGAAAAAGTTTGTCAGTGTAAATTTTTGAGATTTACAGAAGTAAATTACTGGCCTCTCTCATGGGCCTGTATTTGAATAGCTTATAATTTTTCAGAATGTTCACATAAATGAGTCTCCTCTCAGTGCACTCGGAAAGTTGAAAGTAATCACTTGTTATGGAATTACCAGGAGATATGCAACAAGCGCTACAGTTTTCAATCCTTATGTTGCCTACTGGTTTGATTAAATCTGGATATTATCCGGAACTAACTTTAATCTAAGTATAGAACTAAAAGTTAGTTCTGGGTTAATGCAGTCCATGAAACATGTTGACAACTTAAACACCTTGTAAGTACATTCAATAACATTATGTTTTGTAATTTGTATTCCTATGTTTACGTTTTATTGTCCTTTATATATTTATTTTAAGTGTGGAAAACTGAGTAAACTGAAACTGATTTTATCCTTATAGTATTAGCAAGACGGGGACGAAGGAATATAAGTGGGGGAGGGGGTGATAATTTCTAAGATCATGCTAGAGCATGTTGAATTATTTCTTGATTATTACACGAGGTTTGTGGTAGCCACTGTGTGTGTGTGTGTGCGCTGAGCCAAGGAGATACCTTCAGAGCTTTGGTGCCTGTGTAATGCTAAGCCCTGGCCTTTATAAGTCCTACAAATAACAACCAATTGTAGAGAAGCACATAGCTTAGTCGGGAAATTAAACATCTGATTGGTCAGTTGTTGTGTATGACTGACACTCAAATACGGTTCATGTCACTGCTCTCACACCAAGTCACATGCAGTACAATAATAATTAAATAATAATAATTTATTGTAATTTTAACATTTTCCATATGAAATTAACAAATTTCAATAAATGGTGATGTTTTGAGGGCATATATGTGAATTCTTATAATTGCAAAGATTGTGTATAATTTTTGTGCGCTACTTGTGAAATTTAACAAATGGAAATGGATTTTAAATAGAATGGTGGTTTATGAATTTTAGCCCCTAAATGCATGCATGACACATTGATATCCTCATTCACACCACATGGCACATACAGCCTGACAACAATTTTGTTGCAGTCCACAAAAATAAATTTAAACAGTCTGTACAACCCGTCTACCATCTTTGGCTAAAAAACCGCTTGTTGTTAAGGCCCGACACGAGACATCTGTAAAAAGTAATTCAAACGGCACTTCAAAAAAATTCATTGAACATCACCATTTGTGTGATATAATTTGGCGCTATGTAACTTCCAACAATTGATTGATTTATGTGTTTTAGTGACCTTTCTCAACAGATTATAGTTTGCTGTGCAATAATAAAATATACTAATTAAACTTGATTTAGAAGAAATTTAAGTCATTAACAGACCTCTCAAAATACAGGCATTTATGAACATTTTTTAAGTAATGGCCCATACAGTGGTGGCGCCAGCAAGGGGGACGGGGGTGGGCTTGGACTGGGATTCAGGACTAGGTCGTCAGACCAAAATAAAATTAAAAAAATTATAATTTGCCTACCCAAATAACATTCTTTTGACTTCCAATCCCTAATATTGTGGTCTAAAAGCACAATTTGCACCGTACTAAGTCATAAAAACTCTCCCGGTGAACCTTACAAGGGAGTTTTTATTCCGGGCCGTCGACTGAGGATTCGTCAGGCCTTAGACTCGGACCCTCCTGTTGGACATGTCGGACCACTTTCTGGCAAATTTCTGGTGGCACCACTGGGCCCATACCCCCAATCAAGTCCCCTCATTCCAATATTACACCCCCTCCTTGCACAAAAAGGTAAATCCTGGAATGTGCACTGTAGAATTCAATTTTTGCAATGGCAGCCATGTTGCAATTGCTGCCAACTACTATACTACTCTTTATTATTGTTGTTGCCGTTAATAATAATAATATTAATAATAATCATAATAATAATAATACTGATGATGATAATAAGTAATAACAATAATAATTATTATTTTTATTATTACTATGATTTTAATATAATTAATACTAATGCTGCTGTTGTTGCTGTTAATAATAATAATAATACTGATGATGATAATAAAGTGATAATTAAATCACAATAATAATAATAAAAATAATAATTATTATTCTTATTATGACTATGAAAAAAAAAATATAACCTTTAGGTCAAAGTGACAAGGTGTCCAAGTGCCTTAACACGTAGCGTTGATCATACAATAGTCTGCCCTTAACAAAATTCACATAATTGTCTTGTTTTCGGAACTTACCGGGCATATAGTAAGTCAATTTTCAATAAATAGTCTACTTACTATTTGTTTAGATTTGTAACTATAGTTAAAAATGCCTAATTAACATTCCTGAGCTCTTTATGCTGTGACGCTTAAAGCAGTCACAGGTTTGCGAGGCGAACGATTACCGACCACGAAGAATCATCGGTAATCTATTAGGGCCTAAAATATTAAGCTGTTAAATTGGATTAAAATTTGATATACAAAAGGGTTTTTTTATATAATACAAACAAAAAAATAGTATAGTTGACTAAATATTCCTTCGGGGGATTTTAGAACTAAAGGTTAAACTACAATGCAAGATATTTTACCTTACTCTTTCAGTGATTGTTTCATTACACTTAAATACTCAAAACAACTGAAGCAAACAGGGCCGTATCCCAAGGCACTACCTGGACCCTGCCCCATTTGTAGTAGGGCAAATACTAATAAGATTGTATACCGTAAAACCTTGATTTGAAGCCCAATGGGCTTAATCTTGTGAAGCTCATCTTGAAATGAAGCCCCCCCACCCTCTTCAAAAGAAGACAGCATTGGCTTCTTTTCAAGATAGTACAGTACATTCACTGTACATGAATTTCAAAGAAACAAAATAAATTGAAAACGTGCTTGGTTTATACAGTAGTTTAGGTGATTTAATGCCGGTTATTATACTCCATAATACAGATTAATATTACAGTGGCCCTACTTATTGTTTTATAGTACTAATCCCGAAAATTTACAGCATTCATTTTCAAAAAAGAAGCCCCCCTCCCTCTTTACTTTGCAAAAGTGGTCTCGAAAAGAAGCCCATCTCGATATGAAGCTCATCCAGAGTTTGCAAAAAAAAAAGAGGCCCAGGGCTTCAATTTGAGGTTTTACAGTATGCTTACATAAAAAGGCCCAAAGAAAACATGGACTACTGTGAGCCATCAGAACAGCCATCAGAGTTCTTTGCCGACAGATTATATTAAAAAATATATGGGAAATGCATTTATATATATTTTTTATATATCATAGTGATGCAGCTTCCACCAAACCTCAGTGGCCAACTTGAAGACATTCAAGCAAAGGTATACTGCATAATTATTGTTATTTCTATTCCTGTACATTATTTAATTTTTTTTTTTTTTTTTGGTTCAGGAATGTTAACGAGAGCCACTGGGCCTCATCGATGCATTTAGGTTTTTTCCGTCATTCCTTTACCTTTAACCTTTACCCTATATCATAAAAAAAAAATTTTGGCTTAAAATATAATCTCCTCATTTAACATTTAATTTCATTATTTATTTGGCCTTAAATTAACCACCTACAAGCAGGACTATCTTATAAGTTGGTAAGTATTGTTATCATATAATTATATTAATAGAAATTAAATTTATTTTATTTTGTAAATGTATTCATTCATTTGGTTATTCCTTCCTTATTTAACTTGTAGAAGCAGTTTGGCACAACGGGAACAGTATGGTTTCCCAGGGTTTCAATCCCTCATAATGCCTGCTTGTTTCCATGAGCAAGGCATTTTACTGCATTGCTTCTCTCCACCCAGGGGTACAAATGGGTACCTAGTGAAGTTGCCTGCTCCTTTGCTGATTACCAGCAGCTACACTTAAGCATCCATGACTTAAGCATGTGGACTCAGTGACCAGGGTAAAACAAGTGCTTTGAAACCTAAAGGAATAGGCGCTATGTAAAAAAATGAACTGACTGACTTACCCTTCACTTACATAACACAACCTTGTGACTTAACATCTGTCCACACGATGTTTTATGTGAAAAAATACCTACCATTTGCCAATACATGGGTCTGATATGGAATCATGAAGTCCGTATATATGGATGAAATCATCATCAAGCCCATATGGGTGATGACATCAACAATCCCAAATATGGGTCTGATATGAAATCATTAAGTCCATATATGGATGTGAACCATCATCAAGCCCATAAAAGGTTGTGATCATCAAGATCATCACCATATTTTTCACAGAAAATTTGGACACAGAATAATACAAACTATGTAAAATTATACAGTCTATTTTATAGTTGTGTTTTTGCAAGCTATTTTGTACAAGCTTTCCTTTCTATGGTTTTGCTTTAGTCACTGTATTGAGTTAAGTGGTTGGCATTGTTCCTGCTTCTTGCGCTAAAGACCCTTGTTCAAACCCAGCCAGCGTCAGGTTTTAACTTGAGTCTAATCGCTTGTCTCCTCAAATATACCCTCATATTGTGAGTTAAGCGGGTTGAAGTCAATGTCTGTATCCGTAGGTGTACTTGTTGTGGAGGCGCTGCACTGCAGCTTTCACGGGTCCCCAGCCCAAATTTTCCCAGATTTTTTATTTGAATGAGGACAAATTAAAGAATTATTATTATTATTATTATTATTATTATTATTATTATTATTATTGTTATGTTATTACAGCTTACAGATCCCTTTTTAGCGCCATGGCATTTACAAATATCTGCCATCCCATCCTAGTCATGACGTGATGTCATCATTACCATATTTAGGCATTTAGGCATGTCACATGTCAGACATAATTTGATAGTCTAGACAGCGCGTTAACATGATATCACACTTGTCTGCATGCTTAGTCAAAGTACTCGTATTCTGTCTGTTGATCCTTAGATTAGAATATTTTGATTCTACTGATTGCACATTTCATGGTTCGCTTAATAACAAGTAATTTTTAACACACAAGTTTTTCCACATGAAAAAGCACTAAAGAATGTGGCAATTTTTAATAATGAATAAAACCTCATCAACTATTACAAAGTCAAACTGAATAAATTCCACTTGGCTTCATAAAAATCCCGGTCAGGCTGATTTTCATAGTACCATTACACAGTGGTGGATTAAATTTTCAAAATTACAAAAAAAAAAAAAAATAGTGAAAAAATGAAAATTTGAAATGAATTTAGGAGTGACAGTGCTATTTCCGACCATCTAGAGGTACCATAATCCATGGGTACCATGGGCACCCTCTATTTTGAATTCCTGGATCCGCCACAACATCAACTATTACAAAGTCAAACTGAATAAATTCCACTTGGCTTCATAAAAATTCTGGTCAGGCTGATTTTCATAGTACCATTACACAGTGGTGGATTAATTTTTCAAAATTACAAAAAAAAAAAAAAAATAGTGAAAAAATGAAAATTTGAAATGAATTTAGGAGTGACAGTGCTATTTCCGACCATCTAGAGGTGCTATAATCATAAATCTGGGCCCTCTATTTTGAATTCCTGGATCCGCCACAATGTCAACTATTAAATTGCCAAAAAGCTTCTGCTAAGGAAACTGCTTCGGCTGCTCATTTACTTATTAGGAAAAGGGGATGTTTGTATTGACTCCACTGTAATCAAGTCTAAAAAAGCCTACCATGGTCTTTCATTGGCACATATTCTTTTATTTCTTCTTGCTCTTTTGTTTATTTCTCTAATTCTCCATAGTTTTATATATTTAAATTTGTCATTTTTTATAATTATATATTTTAATATTCAGTGCTGTGATTTTAAATGTGTGCCAATTGTATATATTTTAATATTCAGTGCTGTGATTTTAAATGTGTGCCAGTTGTATATATTTTAATATTCAGTGCTGTGATTTTAAATGTTTGCAAGTTTTTGAGTGCATTTCCTTCTTTTTATGTTGGACAATAAATTATTTTGTATTCAGTATTCATTTTTCTTATTAAAATTTTGCATTGAATTTAGGCCATTTTATGTCTTCGTTTTGTACTTCTGGCAATTCACCAGATGTTGACTACAATATTGCATAATTTTACAATGAAATCAACCACTTTTTCTGTCCTCCTCTTACAGAAGCTGATACAACAGCTAAAAGTCGACACGAATAACAAGGTATCTTGTGATGCTAGTAGTGTGATGGAGAGGTGGACTGCTATAGCCAGTGCAAGGCCTATCGCTGGAACTGACCAATACATCATCTACAAGTGGATACAGTACTTGGTCGTTCATCAGAATAAAAACAACAAACTATGAAGATTCAAGATTCATTTGTTTTTGCAGCAATCAATGTGCCTATGACTGAAAAACATTTTATTTACCAGGACATTCTCGTCTGGGTGCGGAAGTGCAGGAGGCCGTTACAAGTCAAAGGAGACTTAGGACCCCTGTATTTTGAAGCATCCTACACATATTCAATTGTGTAGCAAACTATCTTATCTCAGTTTTGCTTATTAATAATTGTGTACAACTATATAGATCTTGTATTCAAATGGCATCAATATTTACCATGAAAATAAGCTAATAACTTTGTGGTGTTCACTGATCCTTGATCAATAGGACACATCCAATATGGATTAAATGCTATATTTGTTGATCCATTTGACTACTTAAGGCCTACTTCATGATTCAGGATAATCTAAAATTGAGATTGATTTCCTTTAGTGATATTCAATTTTATTACAAGACTGTGCTGGGGCGGATGCAGACGGTGTAATCGCACTCTTTAAATTCTAATGTGTATTCAAGAAAAATAACTGTTGTTGGTAACTGTTAATATTTTTATCATTAAGAAGAGAGGACCAGCAAGATTTTTAAGTATGAGAGTGCAGCTTGAGGTCCATATTCTCAAAATTTTATCTCACTCCTGCCAAATCCTGCATCCACCCAATGGCGTATCTAGGGGGGGTGCGCAGGAACGCACGCCCCTCCAAAAATTACTCGCATCCCCCCATCTGCCCACCCAGAAATCACAGTCAAGTACAGTAGTTAAAAATCACATAAAATCACCTTATTTTGCGAATTAGCGCCCCTTAACTAATCATCGAGCTCATCCACCCACTTCACTTTTGTGTCCCCACCCATTAGCACTCCCATTTCAAGACTTCTAGATACGCCAATGCATCCGCCCCAGCTGTCTTTTAATGCATTGATGCTATACACATTAATGTAAATGTTACAAAGACCTACCTAATGACTTCACTTCCAACTCATTCATTCTTGGTTGCCAGTATAACAACATGAACCTTGATATGTTATATGTTCAACTAGAAATAAAAGTTCAAAACACAGTAAGCCTGTTTTACAAAAATCATTTTATTATCATGTTATTTTATAATTTCCAAAAAAATTGTTATGGTTGGTGTTACATTATATATTACAGAAATTCAACTAAGAAATTAGTCTCAGAACATTAAAAACTACATCAGTAGCATGCATTTAAAAATCTAATTAAACTACATTATTTTATCAATTATAAAAATTATTCTATTCTTATTATTCCGATAGCACCAAAAATTAACGTAAACATAAAACATAATATACAATATAAATAACCTTTTACAATTTAAGTATGTCGGTAATAAGAAAAATATCACCAATAATAAAAATAGTATTTGTAAGAACACAACAACAATCAATAACAATTTTTGTGAAAAGCTCTGTCACACGCTATCATATATTTTTAGTGACAATACCTGTACCTGCCCATATATGGAAGTTACATGACATCATCATGCCAATATATGGACAAATTAAATGCACATTTGTTACATAAACTTGATAGTGTGGGCAGGACTTGGTGGCAAGTCACACACTTTTGGATGTGAACAACACGTTTTAAATTCTGTAAAAACTCAAATAGAAGCCCTATGGGGTTATCTCAAGAAGAAGCACATCTCGAAAAGGAGCCCCACCCCACCCCCTCTTTAGTTTGCAAGAGTAATCTCTAAAAGAAGCCCATCTCGAAAAGAAGCATATAGGCTTCTAATCAAGATACTATGGGCTTCTTTCGAGACTACATTCAGACTGACATTATATTTGAAGATTATGATAGCGTAATCTGTATCAAAATATTTTATTGCAAAAAGTTAAAAATAAAAAAATATTAAACAGAATCTTGAAAAGCAGCCCATCTCAAAAAGAGGCGGATCCAATGGTCCTAAAAAGAAGGATGAATCCCAGGACTTCTTTTCGAGATTTTACAGATATTATAATAAAATAAAAATATCAATTGACCAAGTATTGTAATAATGCCAGTTTCAAAATCATTAAAAATATTAATGAATATAATTTTAATAGTAACAAAAACATGTACAATATTAATAATAACTATTAGAGGAAATCCATTTTTATAATTATTTTTACAAGAGTACAAAACATGCACTGTGTATGCACTCACTTATGAACATAAAAAAATAATCCCATAATGAGTTCATTATTCTTTATGTGATCTTTTGGAGGGAGAATCTTTGACTAGACCTTTTGTCAACATATTCCAGGCAAAGATCTTATAATAGCAAGATAGCACTCTCCGCTAGTCTACGCGTAACAAACTGAAGCGTTGTGGTTCAGTAAAAAGAACCATAAAAATTAATTGTATTTGAAAAAGGGTGTCCTAGTGGTTACAATGGTTGTTACAAAATTTGCACACAGAAACTGCAGAATGCACCTCTTTAAAGATTGTTGATGTCGAAGTTGAAAAGTAATTCTAATTGTGAGAGGGCGCCCTTATGTTGTTACAGAATTTGCATGTAGAAATAGTGGAGAATTCCATCTTGTTATTACATGTATAAGATCTTTGATTCCAGGCAACAGTTAAGAATTGTAAAGCGGAGGTGACTGACTTGCAAAGCAATTAGTATAGTCATATTTCAATACACAACAGGAGAATGTAACACATAGAATAGAAAATAAATGCTGTCGTGACAAAATGAGTTGTGGTACGCCAGGTTAATTTGATATATTAAAGAAAATATATCTGAAGTGATATTTTGACAGAAATTTTGTTTCAGTTTTTCTGATTAGTATAATATGTATATTTCATAGTAGCAAAAGTTTTGAGATGAGTTATCAAGGGTAATCATGTTTTTGAGGCACGTTTTGTAAAGCTATTTTTCAGAATTGATTAGAAAAAACAACACAAATTTATCAGTTGTTTATCTTTAGAGCCAACATTAGATTATGTTTTTAGACATCTGAACTTCAAATGATCTTACTCAACCTAAGAACATGATTCAAAGACCAAAAAGAAAGCATATCTATTCATCTATCTAAATATATCAATAACTCATTTATAATTTTTTGTACCACATGACTTATTTTGTCACGACAGCTCACAAATGCATTAAAAATCATACTTCAGTTTGTGTGGACAACACTCAACCTAAGAACATGATTCAAAGACCAAAAAGAAAGCATATCTATTCATCTATCTAAATATATCAATAACTCATTTATAATTTTTTGTACCACATGACTTATTTTGTCACGACAGCTCACAAATGCATTAAAAATCATACTTCAGTTTGTGTGTGCCATTTGGGCAATTTTTTTTCATGCCCTAATTCACTAGTCTAGTGTAGTGTATAGGATACACCTATAGTAATTGTTTATTATAACATATTTCAAAAAACCAAATGTGGTCTTCTTGATGGTAGCAAGGTTAATAGTGACAACAACAATAACTTTAATAGTGCAATGAAATGATTACATTTGGTCTTCTTGATATAACAACAACGAATAATTCAACGACATCAACAATTTTAATAATGAAAATAATGATGATAATTATTGATAATGATGGTGTTATTAGTAATAACAATAATAATCAATATTATTATTCGAATCAAATCATTTCATATCGTGTCCCATTGCTATAGCAACAATGTAAATGTCAAGCCTTTTTAGTCTAAAAATGGGAGAAAAATATATTCTTAATTTAAATTTTAAAACAGAAACCCAAAATTTACTCAATTCAGTTGACAAGTTTAGATATGACACACTTGTCCACTGTAAACAAAAAGGCAAACAATTTACATCGTTACAATAATAATTAACATTGTAAATTGTAAAGTTAATAATTACTTATGCCATAGTTACCACCATTCTTCAAAATAATCTAATGCTCAGTATGTCCAGTCTTCTTACATTACAGAAAAAATATACAAAGCTGTACAAAATACATAAAATAAATATCAAATATCATATAGGAATCATCATAAAATATGTTGTGCCAGGCAGAGATAAAAATATGATAGCATTTTACACATTATCATTTGAATCTTTAAGGCTCTATCTAAGCTATCTACGTGTTAAAAACTATAATTTACCATATATGGGTGTGATGACATCATCATGACCTTATATGGGTGTGATATGACATGCCCATATATGGGTGTGATATGACATCATCATACCCATATATGGGTGATATGAAACCATCATACACATATATGGGTGTGAAATGACATCATGCCCATGTATGAGTTATATGACATCATCATGCCCATATATGGGTGTGATATGACATCATGCCCATATATGGGTGATATGACATCATCATGCCCATATATAGGTGTGATATGACATCTATGCCCATATATGGGTGTGATATGACATCAGCATACCCATATATGGGTGTGAAATGACATCATGCCCATATGGGTGATATGACATCATCATGCCCATATATGGGTAAGATATGACATAATCATGCCCATTTTTGGGCTATATACACAAACATAATTATTACATAAAAATTGAGTGTGTATTATGGGCTTAATCTTCAACGAACAGTGCTTCAACTTTGTCTGATGTTGTTCAGGGGCGGCACCATCTATTCCCCAACGGATGTCCCATCGTTCCTGACAGATGGGCCACACCCCCCCCCCACCATGTTTCATTTTCCCCATCAGGTTTTACTGTGGCTCCTCAACGGCTAGGCAAGGCCTACCCGACAACGCCATCAGTGCTTTTTTTCACAAAAATCTGAAAGAAAGCGTGTCTTTGTTGTAAGTTGGACAAAACTCTAAGAGCACTGCTTCCTAAACTGTGGGTCATGACACAAATTTAGGCTGCCAGTGTTTTTCAGTGGGTCTCAAAATAAAGAATCACATTATTATACAACTCTGAGAGTGCTACTTCAGCCATCTAGATGCCATACCTATGTGAGCAATATGTCATAATCTTTAAAAGCAAAAATATTATCTAGAAATGAAATATATTAAATGGAAAATATTTGCAAAACTATAGAAAAAAATTAAATATCAGATTTAAAAAATAAAGATGAGTTAAATAAAAACTTTTAAAATAATATCAAATATTGTTGCTATAAAAAAGTAAAATGTTATTAAATCTAAGAACAGTCCATCTTGTCCAACACTTTGAATACTGAATATTTAAAGAAATTATTTAAGAAAACATTAAATTTGTGGAGAAATGTAATATACTTAATTGTTCCCTGGTGTATGCACAAGCCCTCACATACATTGACAACTAAAAAAACATGTGTAAAATAAACTTAAAATTATTGGCGGGTAATTGGCGGGTATATTATTTTTGTTTAGCATGTGTGCAAACTAAGAATTCAACGAGGTATAATGAGAAAAATAACTTGCAAAATATAGACACAACTCTAATAAAATCAGCAAAATGTACATATGGACACTCAAATATAAAAATAAATGTTGAGTTATAATGACAGGTCTCCTATATAAGTTGGAATTTGATTTTTTTTAACTTCTTTTTAAAAATATGTTTGTTCAGTATGTAGCCAATATGTCCAATATGCTAATAAATCATATACAGTAAAACCCTGAATAGAAGCCCAATGGGCTTCATCTTGAGAAGAAGCCCATCTCGAATTGAAGCAAAAGTAGCCTCAAAAAGAAATCCACCTCGGAAAGAAGTCAAAGGTCATATTAGTATCTTAATATTTAGATACCTGTTTAGTGTACCACTTTTCATTTTTACTTATAAAATTAAATTTATTTTATATTCCTTTTTATGAAAACTAACATTTTCCTTAAAGTTCATAGACATTAGTTAATTCAAGCTTCCATTTTCCTGGGTAAAGGAAGCAATTTATATTATCAAAGAGGTAGAAATAAGAAAAAAAATATATTTACTGAAATATATATAAAACAATCTTCCTGCAAAATGTCTATGTATATTCATTAAATATATTAATGAATATTCACTAAAACATTAATATTCATGAATGTACACAGCGCATATTCAACACAAACACAGTTGAACAACACAATAGGGAAACAGCCACAAACATAAATAATACTTGCTTTTTTTTTTAGCCAAATTCATTAGCTGTTTTCCCCAACGATTTTAACAGCAGACGTATCCAAATCTGGCTGTATCCTTAAGTTTCTTTTTTTTATGAAAATACTGTACAAATTTCTTCTTAAGCCATGTGCACACTATCAAATTGTATTTGACAAAAACATGTGACATGCCTATATATGGTCATGATGACATCACATCATGCCCATATATAGGCACATCACGACTAAATATGGGCATACAACAGTTTTTTGTCAAAGAAAATTTGATAGGTGGACAGCGATTTAAGCTCTATCAAAACTATCAAAGTTTATGTGAATTTGTGTAAATTACCCAAATATGGACATGATGTCATATAAGTACCGTATACACTCGCATATAAGGCGACCCGCGTATAAGACGATTTTTGTACATCGGGCATATAAGATGCGCCTCCCCTCCCGTTTCACCGTCGGAATTCATACATTTTGCTGCATTTTATAAGATTTTATATGTTCATCAAAAGCTTACTTCCCCGTATTTAAAATTCGTTCATTCATAGGCCTACTAACATTTTAGTAGCTTCATTGCAGTATTAAATTCGCATGTTAAAAGACAAAAGACCAACATGATTTTAAAAATCTAAAATTTGTTTTTCGCGCGTATTAGATGACCTCGTTTTTCGACCGGAATTTTCTATTTTAAGTCTTATCTTATACGCAAGTATATACGGTATTGTAAAAGATAAACACTGTTGAGAGGAAATACAGGGTTCTTTGCTTATTGTTCGTCTCAACAAGTATGGCCATTGCTGGTAATCTGTACATTATTATAAGAAGGTTTCACATTCATAAATGGGCAAATCATAGGTACTTGTATAAAAATTGATAGTGTGGATAGGGCTAAAAACTCTGCATATATTTGGTTTTATGAAAGGTTTTTAAAATTTCTCATTACATGTTAAGTACATAAGATTATGGTTGATGTTTAGGGATGGTGAGGTCAGACTTTGGATCCGGTGATTTTGTGCTCCAGTGAACATCGCGACATTTAGTAAGACCTTTGCAAACAGCACCATTGGAATTTAAGATGTCCATACAAAAACCACCCATTATCCAAAAAGTTCCAACAAGCTCATCAACCCAGCTGTGCAAATCCTCTCCGGTTTTCTTCCCTTTTTCGTTTGCAAGTTCAACAATCGATTCCGAATCAGCTAACTGAAATATTGTTTTCATACTTGTGAAATCACGATCCACATAGCTATTACGAGGTGGCCCGCTATTAGTGGATTCTGCATCATGTTCGGTTATTGGTTCACCATATTTTACAGCCAGCGGTATGACCAGAAAATTTGTCTCGGCCACAACCATCCACTGGTAAAGCATTTTGATGGTCCATTTCCCAGGTCTTAGTGGCTTATTAAATTCCGGTTTATGATGCATTTCATCACAATCGCTATCAACTGTGGTGTCAAATGATGCTGCGATTTGATTGGTGGGATCAATCCATGTGATTGTGATTGTGTATACTTCCCCTTCTCCCCATTTCATGAGAATAATCGGCTCATCAAGGGTTCCCAAAAGGTTTCCATAGTTACGGAAGACTTGTTCTTTGGCATCGTATTCTGACCCAACCTGAAATGATTCAAAACAATTTAAGCCGGTTTGACACTAGGCGAATTTATTCACGCAAATCAAAATCGTTAGTTTGCTTCCTGAGCTCTGATCGGTTGCTCAATTTTTTGGTTCGCAAAATGTAGAAAGAGTTCAAACTACTGATATCGCTGAAGCGCAAAAACTTGTGCGAATAGATTCGCTTAGTGTAAAATCGGCGTTAAGCTTACTGCCAAACAACTACACACATGGAAATGGAAAAAAACTTGAGGCCTATTTACACGGAGTACATATGGCAGCAACTTTCGACAGTGGCACAAAAATACAACCCATTATATGTTTTATGATGACCTATACTGAACAACTATGTTACAGAGACACAGTGTGTACTGTTGTGCAATACAAAATATCCCAACTAATCAGAAACACTTCAGCTGGGTCAGGAGTGGATCCAGTAGGAGGAATAAGGAATAGGGGAATGTGCCCCCCTCCCCACAACCTGTTTTGCCACTAAACTTTAAAATTTCAATGCATATCAATGTTATGTATTGAAATAAGCGCTACTCACTTATCTACCTCAAACTGGATCCGCCCATGTGCTGAGCATGCAGACTAACAGGGAAAAACTTGTTTTTCCCTGATGTGAAGAGCATAGAAGCTTTCCATGCATAATGCACCACACAAGTGTAACATTATCACATTATTATTATCATTTAAATACTGTATTCAGTATTATTATTTTTAAACATTGTGCATGCAACTACAATAAATACTATGCGCTGTGTAAATGAACTCCACTGCACAACCGTGTGTCAGTGTCACGCTTTGTGTAGTAATTTTCTAGTCCCTGAGCTACGACAAATAGGTTACTTTATTTTACTTACTTCCATTGTTATTAGACGACCTGCCGGTCCAATTGGGTTTACAGTCTTCTGCCAAAGTTGTGGCGTGAATAATCCTTCGATTGTTTCAGTTTCCCCCGACTCGAGACGCGTCTCCAGCGTGATAATAATCCCTTTGAATTCGTCAGACATTTTGATTAAACTAACCTCTGTCGGAGTGGAGCTGAATTTGAAACGACAACTACTTGTGTGAACATTAGCCTGCAAATATTTAAAAAAACACATGACAGTTATATGGTTCACTACAGAGGTCACCTGACATAACTTACCCCCTCTGATCACACCCCCCTCCACTAGTACCGCCACACTAACTTGTGACTAAGACACCTCAAGTCTACTAACATCAACTGAGCTCAAGTAGATTATCTATATTTAGTTGCCAGGCAACACTACTACCACAATAGAGGATATTGGCAGGTTCAAACATAGAGAAAGAAAATAAAAGGAGTCACAACAGAGTACAAGTGCCAGGCTGAACCGATTAGGCTCCCGCGGAGCAGCAGTGCTCTAGCATAGGGCCGATAAATTAGACATTGTTAAGATAACGGTCTTAGATGGATATCCAATTTACTGCCGCTGACTTCGGTCTGATTACGTACAGTAACACCCCTCATTTAGAAACAAGCCAAGCAAACTGAGGCTGCGCAGAAGTCACTGACATGTACCATGTAGTAATAACACATGCGCAGTAATGCAGTTTAAGCCTAGTCATATTTTGAAAAGATGTCTTATTAATTATCGTCAATTTCATCAAGGGATTATCGTATTATTTGTTAAGTCGAATTTTATCACTTTCTACTACTACAAAACAGATAAATCTAGGTGCATTTTAAACCATAAAACATATCAAAACTTATTCCGTTTTCATTTTTTGTTGCGCGCAAATGTGTGCAAGTAAAATATGATATTGAAGTTTGCTCATGAATATTCAATTTAACCGATTCACAGTCTTTTTTCATGAGTGTTTTAATTTTTTTTTTGTATAATTCATTTATAAAATATGTTGTCTATTTTATGACCTTACTATCATATTTATTCACACTAGAGTTTGAACCGCTGAGTCGATTAGAATTATTATATTTAATAAATAAGTATTATTACAATGTTATTAAAGTATTATTACATACAATACCGATGATTACGGCACGTTTGGCTGTTTGTTATAATTTTTTAAAATACATTTTAGTTCCTGTTTTTATCCCACTGCAATTTAATGTTGGTTACAAAAGGTTTGTAATAAATATTGCAATCAATCGGTAATCGGTATTTATATAGATCGTTAGATACTTACCTTTATAAATGAAATTAGTATCCACAAAGCTATCATAATAGGCCTACACTGGCCCAAGATATATTCTTTAATGGAGGCACTGTATTTCAGAAGGCATATTACCATACCCTTATCAGGCAATGCATTAATTAATCCATGATTAGACCTGCCATGGAAGAATTAGTTTGCTACGCATAATCTTTGAACTTGTCCGCATTCTAGAGTTATCTGTGTTTGATCGTCGCATGAATAAATGGAATAAAGTTCACTTGACACCTAATTTATTATTATAAGGCCTACTTGATCTAAATTGTAATTTTGTTCACTTGTATGTTCAACAATTCTTACTCCATGCTAATAATACTCACACGTCGACTAGCCTAGTCTAGAATCTCACACGACTCATGGAGAGGCTAGGCTATGCTGTAGGTGTCGCCGAACAAAATATTAAAAACAAAATATATATTATTGATATAATATCAGTGGCAGATCAAGGGGGTTCAATGGGTTCGGACAAACCCCCCTGGCTTACAAGATTCATGCTAACTAGATGCAGATCAAGACTTCCGCCCACTTCGCCCAGATGAAGGTCAGGGTGAGAAATCAAAATAAAATGTTGACCATTTTTTCCAACAATAATACTTACTTTCCTTGACACTTATTTTTAACATTACCATTAGGAAAATGTTTTAATTCACGCTATCCTATACCTTACACTTTTAAACTGATTGTACCAGAGAGGTACATTCCCAATACATATGGTCTTCCACTTCTATAGCGCATGATATATGCACAGCAAACGTTATGTAACCACTAATAATACTCAGGTGCAGTGGCGTAGGTATGGGCAGTGCAGTATTGGGGGCTCGTTCAATAGGTCTAATCTGGTCTAATGATCTAAAAATATAACTTTAAAAAATCTTATTTAAACTTTTAAAGGACCCTTCAATAATATTAGGTTTTAGAGGTTATAATATTGATTATATTCATTAAAATTTACCTATTACCAATTTCCCACACGCTACAAGTAAAAAAAAACCCAACAAAACAAGCCCTTACATACGATGCACTAATGTGCTTTTTTAAATCACATTTCTAAAGCAATACAATATCGTTACGCACATTTGTGTTTGTGGTACAGGATTTTAAAGTTGGTTCAAATATTATTGTGTACGTTTTTAAACACTTCATATCATCATAACTTCACGAATACATTTTAGATTCACTTCATTGCAAGTAGGTCGATGACTGTTGTATTATTGAATGGTAATTGTTATTATCGTGCTGGAATAGACAATACCTGGATTTGCGTCAGGATAATGAATTAGGGGCCTATATGTATTTTGCCCAACCTGTCGTGAATATGTATTGAATACTCAGTGCGTGATGCACTAATATACTTCTTGAAATCACATTTCTAAAGCAATAAAATATCGTCACACACATTTGTATTTGTGGTATTTTAAAGTTGGTTCAACTATTATTGTGTACGATTTTAAACACTTCAGATCATCATAACATCATGAATACATTAGATTCACTTCACTGCAAATAGGTCGAGATGACCGTTCTATTATTGAATGGTTATTATCATAATAGATTAAACAATACGTGGATTTGTGTCAGGAAAATCAATTAGGGGAGACAATATGTGTAATTTTGCCCAACTTGTCATGAAAATGTACTGAATACTCAGCGCGTGTGAAAGTTGTTCTCCAGTGGGACTCGAACCCAGTAGGCTTAGTCTTTGAAAACAACATGCCAAAACCAAAAAACCGAAAATAGGGGCAAATAAAACCTGCAGTGTTTTTGGTTGTCAAAGTACTCAAAAGAAAATATGTGTCTCAAAAAACAAAATTTGCTAAGGCTAGGCCGCTGGAAGTCTCCTAGTGAAAAATTGCAAGACATTAGTGGCGCTATTTCAAAATAGACCTGACAAAATGGTGTATACATTCCACAAGTAGCAAACAGCATAATGAATATCTGTTTGGTAGAGGATGTGGTTTTGTCTTAAGATGTTGACATTGGTCTGAAGTAAAGTTCTCATACAACCACAGATATGTGCATCTGTGCAATAACACATTAATCAAGGTACTGATTGACGGGGCTTAATAGACTATGAAACAAAGAACAATGAACTACCTATTAATGATGAAATATTTATATGTTATTGATATCACCAACACATAATTTAATTCAATTAAACACACACAGTACATTACTGGGTTACTACTGTTGCATTACCATTCAATCATACGAGGCAGTGGTGGGGGAGGGGGGTGTGGTTTAAGACCTTTGTATGAGTGACTTTTATAAACCAAATATAAATATTCATAGGCATAAAAGAACTAGGTTGTATCTATTTACTTATTTTGGACATGGAGTTCTCCCAGATGAATGTGAAAGCTTTTCTCTTTACTCTAAACTTTTAATAAGTGTTTATTAATATATATGGAAAAGAAAATAAAAAAAGAATAATGTGGACAAGAATGAAATGTGTGTCTATAAGAAAAAATACTCAATTCAATACATACCCTGGCAACCCACTGTATATGTACGGCAGCCATTCTCACAAATGCTTGATAAAATGTCATTGCTGTGTCTGTAACTTTGGTCACAGTGTCTTCTATATGATATAAACTTTGCCAGTATGTTCGTAGACCGGCTGTACCTCTAGGATACTCCCGATACATCCAAGCTTCAACACGATTTATGATTGCTTGATTGATAACAGCTTCAAACTTTCTGGCAAAAAATGTGGGTCTGCTTGTCTGAAAATTGTAGGTAGAAATTTGTTAGTTCGTCAAAAATAACAGCAGAAGACCTGTCTTCAATGATCTTTTAGGTATTGTTGACTGTGCATTAGGCTTCAGCATGTTAGGTAATTCTTTGTGTGAATGTAGAAAACAAATTCTTGAGAAAATGTATATTCTTTCTGAAATTTCATTTTATCTATATATGTATCATTAATGGATGTGTTTCTCCATGTTTATTTTGCTTGTGTCTCAATAAGGGAAAACCTTTTTATACAGTACCTTGATTAGCAAACCCGCCGCCTGCCATTAATGAAGATTTCAAATAAAAATAAAATTGTATTTTTGGCCACCGGCACAAACAATTTCTATATTTTTATTACACCTGTTACTGCCTTGAAATCTCCAAAAATAAGATATGTATATTTCTTCCCAATTATATAAATTTAAAGCATTTAACCATCCCATTACTACACTGTTTACATTCACCAATAAAATTTTAATTTTATTTTCTCCTCCATCTGAAAGATTTTGGCAAAAATATTTGCTAAATAAGAAAACAAAACTTAAATTTTAATTTTTTTTTCCACTCTTTCTTTAAATCTTCAAAAAAATATGTTCGCAAAACAAAGTAAAAAAACATTAAACCGATTCTAATACCAGGATTTCCTGAAATGCCGTCATTAACAGAATTTCCTGAAATAATATATAAAGGAAATTATTCTTACAGGGATACTAAATATGAATACATTGCATTCTGCACAGTCACATAAACAAATTGTGTACATAAGCTTAAGAAAATATATAAACATATGGAAATGTACCTTTAATCTGTTGAAGTCGTCTGGCTTGAAGTCATTTGGTGAACAACCACACCAATCAACGATGTGTTTATGTTGGCACTGACATCCCAACTTGCGTTTCCAGTTGGTGACACGTAAGTTATTGTCTACAAATGTTTCGCACAGTTCAGAGTTTTCAAGTACTGTGTGAAAAAATGACTGCAAAACAACCAAAAATTTTATTTGTTATTTAAATGAAATGGAAATATTTTGAATAAATCATAAAGAACATGGAACTATGTCCCACTGATATTCAGCACATTTGCGTTTGACTACAGTAGGTTGAAGTTCAAAGCCTTGCTGTGCCTTTCGCTAATATCTTTGGGCAAAGCATATACCACAATAACTTAAAGTTTTCTCTATCTGCCCAGAAGTATAAATAAGTATATGGTGGACTTACGGTACTTAAATATTATCAAATGACATTATTCAAGTTTTAAAAGTTCAGCAAACATTGATTAACTTGAGCCCAAATATCAAGTTTTAATTAAACTAGCTCAAAAGAGATATTTTTGGTAGCATGGGAACCATTAAGATATGATTCGACAGGTGTAACATATAATGGAAAAATAAAATTAGCAGTTTATAAAGATGTCATTTGACAGATTGAAAGGAACTAACCGTTCCCATCTCCAATTTCTATTTGAAAATGAGTTGAGGGCAAGCTAGAATACTTTCTACGTTTCTCCCATTAGGTCACAATATTCTGAGAGTATTTACATACACCATTACCAGATAAATCAAACAATATTAAATTAGGTATAGAATAATCCCTCAATTATTAGTGACATACAATGAATAGATCGTAATCGGATATCGAGATGAGGACGAAACGGAAAGCTATCGCAGAAACAATGAGCTTACGATGTTTATATTCCTAAAATAATTGGCAGAAGGTATTTTTAATTACCTCAGCTGGTAGCAGAGTGTACTTGTAAAGATGTTTCAACCCAATAACTAATTCGTTGTCAGCTGTGATCAAGTACTGGCAATACTCTCGGTTCACAACGATCCAATCAGATCCTCCATCCACCACGATACCTTTAGGAAGTTCACGTTCTCCTAAGCGCCACATATGTGCGTCGCACTCGTAAAAGGTTCGGTCTAACCCCTGCTTCTTGGTAAACCTGTCAACAATTTATACAAACAGTTTTGATCTAATGATAATCTAATAACATTATTTATATATTTTATATTATTATGTTGTATTTTATTTTACACACAATCACAATTATGGCTATTAATGTCAAATTGAATGTTATGTATGATATTAATATTTTATTTAATCAGAAAAAACAGAAAGAAAATCATGACAAAAAGCAGGAACCAACACTTTTGAATTGAATTGATTTCTCTCCATATACCATACATAAAATACATAGTAAAAAAACACGTCATTTAAAACAAACAAAAACACTATAAATATACAGGATACAATAAATGAAAAAGTTGTTTTTGAGAGGGCCCACAAAAAACATAAAATCATTATCATTAGTTATGTAAGATAAACTAGATGAGTTAGGTTCACAGACTTTTTGTTATAGTGATTAATTTCGCTTTTGTTTCCCCGTCCACTCATTCAATTTATTGTATTTGTTTTCTGTATATTTTATACCTTCAATATATTGTACTTTGGGGGAGGGGGATTTTGGAGAATTAAGGATACATAATTCATTATTACTCCACCTAATTCTAATCTTATTCCTGCTGCTGATCCCCTCTCTTTATTCACCAACCTACCTGACATCATCTCTACCATGAGACTTCAGAAAATTGTATTTTCTGTACTTGGTTAGAAATGCAACAACTTTGTCATTGGACCTGCAAAACAAGAATTACCAATCAGTAACCTCCTTGGTGGAGAGTGAGGGAATTTCACAAAAGTTCCACCGGCATATAAGAACACAACTAAATGTGTGGTGTGTGGCGTCAAAGACCCTAAGTGGGCAGTGCGAGGCGTTACCAACCTGAGGTAAGAGAGGTTGAATCGCAATGCTGCTAACAAAGTGCATTAACTTTCATAAAAAAAACTATAATTACCAAATTTACTAAGTATTATAAATGGAATCGGTGCATGTAACTGCAGTTACAATACCCAATCATCATTCTCCTCCATGTAATTAGGCTGATAAATGGTAGCCATAGGACTATAGGTCTAGGTTAAAGTATCAGATTTATAATTGTTTTTAAAAACAGCTTTTAAAAGCATCTATGAGCAATGCTACAGAGAGCAGCATAGGTCAGTCGGCTGAACTAGTGGTAGCCACTGTGTGTGCTGAACTGTGGAGATCATTGCTAACCGGTTCTATTCCATTCGCTGTTCTTCTTGTGTTTCAGCACACAATCTTTGAGAAGGGACATTTTCAGCCGTTGGCCCCGTGGATGGCCCATGTGAATGAAAAAGTATGCAATAGTAGATGGAAAAGCGGAGGGGATTATCTCGCAGTGTACTGCTCAATCACCACCAGAAGACCCCACTGAAAATAAGCCTTCAGACTTGTGTGGCTTACGGTATCCTTGGTTTTCACACTTCCTTATTATTGGTAAAGAAAACTTATCTTTGCATAGAAAACAGCCAACCTTGGTTAATACAAAGTTATTTTTAACTTTTATTCTTCCGGAGTTGTGAAATTAATTTCAAGGTTAAAACTATGTATTACAATAATGTTTTAAACATCCAGGTAATACTACTAGTCCAATAGATATTTCAAGGTGAGTTTGCTAAATTGCCTGTTCATTTGCAATTCATATCATCAAAAATCTAAGTTAGCACTACAGTACATTAGGCTGTACATTAGACTTACCGTATATATTATCTTATGATTTTTATTGCCATTATATTTATTTGTATCATGGGCTATCGCTTACACTACTCGATATCAGAGTACTTTGTTTTCCACACTTTTAACTCATTATCTTGCTTCCAACTTATATCATTATCCCTATGTCTCCATTATTGTTTATCTCATTTACTCACCCACCTTTATTTATTGCCGACTGTTTATTGTATTATATTGGATCTAGTATTTGTCAACTTTTGTAATCAGTTACGCTGATGAAGTCTTGAGGACAAGACGAAGTATTCGTTCTCTGAATAAATCATATTTTGTTCTACTGTCTAACTTAACGTTTCTTGCATCATTATTTTGTCTTATTTTCTATATCTATATATATATATATTATATTATTATTATTATCGATAATTATTATTATCCTAACAATATTATTTTATTTGTATGCAATTCTAAATTTAATACTACTCACTCAACATAATGGCTTACAATGTAATGTTCTCTGTTTTTATTTATAAATTGTTTTTTAATGGAATTTTGTTCATTTCTTGTTGCAACAAGGAAACCAAGTCGTGTCAACATATTTTAATCATGACAATAAATTTAAATGTGAATCTCATAAACATTTGCTTCTCTAATTTCTAATTAGCTACTGCAAATTGTAGACAGAACTTCTCCCTTTATTACTGCTACCAAGCAATCAATACTTCTTTAATTTTGGATTGTATACTGTTCATGATTACAACAGCAATTAAACACTTAAACAATTCTCCCTTTAATAGTGATTATTCTCATCAAGTTATCAACCCCTTTAATGTCTAGTTACGTAGATGAATATGCACTGAAATAACAAAGTCTGAGATGTAGTAACTTGAGCGTGATCTGATTAACAGTCATGAAGAGTACAATACTTATCAGACGTATGTGTGACAGACGACACCAAACCACTATCGTGTTGAGTGTGTACATGTGTTAAAGGAAACCACGAAAACTGAGTGGCAATTTCAGGGTAATTGGGTTTAAAGGTGAAAATGGACCTAATTCGTCAATGAGCTTCAATCTCAATCTGTGGTACATCTGTACTGTACTTACAAGAAATAAAATTTATCATACTGTTAAAGCTCTATCAACAACATCATATTTTATTTGGTGAAAAATCATGTACCAGAATTACTAGAAGATATTTCCTCCACCCAAAGTGGTTATGTATTCACTGCTGCATCTTTGTCTGTTAGCAAGATTACGCAAAAACTAAGAAATGGATCACTGAAAAATTTAGTAGAATGGTACAAATTAATCTAAGAAAGAGATTATAAAATTTTAGGAAGAAAAGCTCTAAGAACAAGGTCAAGTTCATGGAAATTTGATTTTATACCCTCAAGCATAAAAGAAATAATGGAATTGCCCATACACAGCCTGCTAGTGTTGGTATTCAGGCACAGAGTGGAGGTAGCACTCAATAGAGAGATTGCTCTAGTTTATAGTACAGAGCTTTCAATTTGCACAACGATGTGACACTAGGACGAATTCACTCATGTCTGACCGTCTTATATTCTCTGCACAACATACATTTGGTCAAACTGCATCCTAGAATGCATGCAGGGCATGCATAGACAAATAAAATTACGTCCTGCAATAAAAAAGCTCCCTGCTAGGTTCACCAGAGAACGTACTTGATGGGAAAATCAGATTCGCTGAGGTTGATGAAGAAATCCCATTTCCATTCGGGCATATTTAGGAGGTCGTCCATACACTTGAGAAGCACCTGAAGGAGACTGGCTCCTCCCCAAATCGTTGCCATCCTCCAAGGTGTCAGTCGGACGTTATCCAGGTTCTTGGCTATTTTGCTAAGCTCACGGTGGAGATAATCAGACCTCTGCAAATGAGATGATTAAAAGTACATAAGGCAAAAAATAAACAGGAATATTTTTTTTCTATATTTATTTTAAAGGCACACAACACATGACCAAGAATTGTCAATAGCAAACATATCACTGTCCTACTTGTAGGTTACAATCCCTTTCACAGACAAACATACACACATGATGCTTCACCTCTCAATTATGTGACTAGGAAGTGGACTTGTTTTGAGAGAAGGGAGAATAATAAATATATAACATTGTATATATTACATTACAGTTTAAATGCTTTTGAGGGGGCAGGGGAATAACCAGGATTTGAAACTTTTAATCCCACTATTCTCAGAAGTATTTTTTTTCATATAAAATTATGTAACACTTAAATTGTTCATTCTTTACTGATATTCAATATAAAAAATTAATATACAAAATTAGAATTGTCTCAGAAAAGCGAGTTATATCTTTGATGTGTACGGTAAGGTATTAGATGTTGATGATTAGGTTGGTTGGTTTTCAATATGGTTTATATATATATATTTTCATAAATTATAATTCAGATATGGTTACATAAGTATTTATTAGACACTAGCAGCATTGGGAATATTTGCCAAATTATCATTTAATTTTTTTTTTTTTAATTCCAGAAGGTCTTTCTGGTGCTGAATTGGGCAGCACGGCGTACCTACAGAAAATCTGAGGAACATTGCAGTGCTTACTAAGTTCAGCACACAACTACCAATCACTTACTCTCTTTGAATAGTGAACCAAGTTCTTTTCATGTACATGTGCTGTTTATGCACATGTGACCAATGGATTAACAACCCACTCGAAAGGCAATGTAAAGTGTGCCAACCTTTTATTTAGTGTGATAATGTTCAGGGACACAGTCATTGTGCTAATTTTTTTGCTGAGATTTTACGATAAACACTTAATTTATGCTCATAATAACTTTACTTTGTATAGTGCATATCACTTAGACATGTTGGTGTTCACATTAATCCTGCGGTTATTCGAACAAATGTCTGTGCAACACATTGTCAGCTGCCTAGGTAAGTAATCCTTAATGTTGTACTTCATAATCAGAGAAATGCCTGCAGGCCACTTAGTTGACATGCTAAATTTTTTTTTTTTAGATTATAGTCATGATGACATCACATCATGACCATATATAGGCACATCATGCCTAAATATATATGATAGTTTTTTTGTAACATGTAATAGAAAAACACACTTAAGAATGCTTTTATCACTTGTTAAATTTTGATTAAAAAATATGATACTTCATAAATGGTTGGCATTAATGTTGTAGAAGTATTGCTTTTATACAACAACAATATGATTAATAATAATAATAATAATGAAAATAACAATAACAACAACAGTATTAATAATGTATTTAAGCATTCAATTATTTTCTTGTATCATAATCTTAGGTTATGTTTCATGATAAAGGGGTATTTATTTGACAATCTCATCACACCACCAAAAATGTTTAAAATATTATTATAGAATGGTTGACATTGATGTTGTGGAAGATTTGTTTTTATACAATAAAAATAACAAGAACAATATAACAGTAACAAGAACAGCAATAACAATATCAATAATGTATTTAAGCAGAAGCATTTAATTCTTGTAATCATAATCATAATGTAAAGGGGTATTTATTTAATAATCTCTTTACTCCACTAAAAATTTTTCCTTTTAGACATTCTTCAAAAACACATTGAAAATAATAATAATAATAATTCTTGTTTTTATTTTGGTAGTTGTCTCTGTTGCTGTGAAGGACCACCATGGAAATAACCACTCTTTTTAGGTGTTTGTGTTATCCTTGAGGATTTTTTTTTGTTTGTGAAATTATTTTGTGGAAACACTGAAAAAAAGAAAGATTTTGAATAAATACAATAAATTATATAAAATAGATCATCTAATATGTTTAACTTATATTTAAGATGAACACAGGCTTTAAATTAATAACATGCTTCCAAAAGACTGATGAATATGATGTCAATGAATAAAGAAGTGGCTCATAGCTATTTCAGGAATTTTACATTATCTTACGATGAATTCAAGCTTAAAATTAATAGATATTACTTTGTGATAACATATTCCTAAAAGACTGATGATTTTGTTGTGAATTTCTTTGGATTGTTTTATCATATGCAAGGGGTGAATGACATTAAAATAAAGAGGTATTAACTTATGATTGATGATCATGATTAAGATTGTGAATAGTGGATAATGTCGCATATTGAGAATCTACGAAGAAGATACAGTTATGATCATCATACATGTACAATAATGAAAATGCTTTACAATAAACCTAGATACATTTCTATATTAGTATTATTATAAATATTATTTTTAACTTATTTTATTTATTTTTTTATTTATTGGGATACAAAAATGACAAATACAAAGCGGTAGCACGAAGCTAAATTGCTTGAATACTATACATAAAAATATAAACCACAATCACCATACATAACAAAATAAGAATTAATATTATTTAATTTACCCAGTAATAAACATTTTTAGTAGAGTTAATGTCCCATGAATCCTAACATAGAAAAAAAAATGTACAGTAGAAGGGGTTGGCACAATGGTTGTGGCTTGTCTCTCACCCTTGTAGTCAGGGATTCAAACATCTAGCTGTGCAAGCTGCTTGTCTCCTTGGACAAGACCTATACCCAGATGTACACTGCCCGCCTCCAAGAAAAGAAATAACTAACAAAATAATAACTTTGAGAAAATGAGCATTTTCCTGGAGTATCTGTAGTGTTGTGTGGAGATAAAACCCAATAAAAAATATAAATAAAAGAATAAATATCATATTTAAAGCTATAATTTTGGGTATTTGGTGAAGAATTACTGTGATAGATACCACCAAGAGCCATGGAAGCCAAAAATTCAAAAATGTAGTTTAATGCTTTTTCTTCGAGTGGACAGTAGAGTGTAAGTAGGTGACATTAAAAAATCGCAAATTATATGTTATTTCATATCACAGCTACATTTCACAATATTAATCACATTTATGTATAGATTTATTAAATTTGTCTACATTTAATGATTGATATAAATGTTAAATTATATTTTAAAAAATAGTATTTGATAATGATTTGATCAAGAGTGGCAGATCTAGGAATTTGAAATAGAGTGGGCCCAGGGAGGGACGTTGACAGATGGAGGGTCTATACCACCTCAGCCCCACCATGATTGGGGCTGATATAAAAAAATTTACGATTATGGTACTGATCATTACCATGTTACTTACCACGTCTACATGAATATAGAAATAATGTCGTGAATCATTTAACACCTTGATCAAACGAGAAACCTGTCGAAGTGCACGTCCGTGCACCACTAGAACGTACACAATACGCACTGGAGATTCTGTGTCGGTGGTGAACAGGTCATCCTGTTCAATTTGAGTTGAAGCTTTTCCTGCAAACCAACCAAATTTGAGAAAAAATAACTGTTAAATGACAAGATTAATATAATTTTATTAAATTTATGTGTTTGTATTTTCATAATACATGTTCTGTATTTATTGAAATGAAAATGTTCCTGCCAGAAATCTCTTTTTTTGGACAATAAAGAAATCTGGAATATTGAAAGGATAACAAATTATTTGGCCTACATGTTAAATCAATGTATTGGTTATGAAAATGAAAAATAACCAAAAGGAAATGAAATAAAATGTTCCAGGATAGTGCTGTAATGTCACATATTCTACTATGGCGGCAAAAATGACCTATGACCTAATAGACTACTAAATAAATAAGGCCAAATAAAAATTGCTAGTTTCACGTCAAATTTTGGAGCCTCATGAAAAAATTTAATATTTGCTTTTTTTTTTTTTTAAAAAAACATTCATTTCTCCATGGACAATAAAAATAATGACTATCTGAAAAAATGCCTAGGAAGAGGTGGGAACATATACGGCAGAAATACATTACAAAGATTTATTTTACTTTTTCTTTATTAAAAAAAAAATTTTTACTCTTTACCAACCTGTTTACCATTAGTATATAGCATAGTAAAAAGTAAATAAGAAATATACTCACCAACAAATAATTTCAAATCCCAGACATGAAACTAATATTTAATTTTATTTGGCCTAAAATATTTTACTAGGATACAAGTTTAAATCCAACCAGATATATTTGAATAAAATGAAATTATAAACATTATTGTTCTAAAAACTGAATGAGAAATTAAAACGTAAAACAAAGTTACAGAACTGAATATTGAAAAAAGCATACACAATAATATTAAAACAATACAATTGACTTTTAAACTCTAGACTCTGTATGAAAAATTGAACAACACTGTAGTAAGCTCAAACTCAAGTAAGTTCCTTTCAATTTTTTATCCAGTCTACAGTTTAAAAGTTAACACAAATACAATAATAATAAATTAATCTATGTTATAAAGTGTCTAATGCACAAAAGCATCAAAACGCCTATGATGAAAGTGATGATGGAAATGTACGAGATTATACTTGGAAATATAGTAACCTACAATTTTACGGACTATTGATTGTTATTACATTTCTCAAGTTGTTTAAAAGATGACTATTTTCTATGAAAGGCAAATTTCTTGATTTTTGCAGATGAGGCGATTGATGATTCATAATATTCAAAATCTTGTAATTTTATACACATGTTGTACACAATGAATATATTCATCAACTACATCTTATCTAAGCTTAGATATGAAGGTAACCAACCGTTTATCTTATGCATTATGTTCTGCAGTTTGGCGAAAATGTGTAAAAATGTGGGTGTGCGTGTGTCTTTTATACAAATCAATCACACAACACAAGAGCTTGAAAATTAACATTAACAAGCTTAAGGCAAGGTTTGTTATTTTCCATAAGAATAATACTGATATTGTTCAGCACTTCTATTGGAGTATAGGAATGGTTTACAGTATGTCAAATGAATGTATTATGGTTTATCATTTAGTCATACTTTAATTTTTATCCTCTATTCACTTGTCTAAAAAATTGGTATAGGAAAGAATACATACTCCAAGCTATGAAATACACACCATTGTGCTGGGATGAATTCTAGCACGATGGTGGGTATTTAATTTCTTGGGGTATATATTATTCTTTCATATTTGAAATTAATCACTGGACCCTCTGGTGTAATAATATAGGCTCATATACAATGGCAAACTTTGTATAAAAGTTATATACAGTAGTATTGGATTTTACTTTAAAATTAGAAAAAATATCAATGTATCATTGTGTTGCACAAGTATCCATAGGGTTGCTCATGGGGGATATATTTTGGCTGGGTTCCTGGAGAACGACGGCTGCCACAATGCAGGGCCAGTACCAACATATATACCAAATACACTATTTCTACCCTGCCTAACTCCCAAATCAGTGGCGTAACACCTATGCAAGAGAAAACGAGAAAATTATATTCAAATTTTAAGTCTGTGAGTGTATTTTCCGGTCATCTGGAGGTGCCATAATCATACTTTTCTTACCTCAGCTCTCACCATGGTGGGGCTAAGCTGGTATAGACCATTTATTTGCAAAAGTCCTTCCCTGGGCCTCTCTATTTCTACTAGATCCTTCACTGATATCATATCATTTATTTCCACGTTAAAAATATTAATTATAATAAAATGACAAACATGATTATATACAAATCTAAATCCCACAATGGAATTGGCGACCGGAACTTAAAAGGGCCCCCGGTGGCAGCATTTTACGTCACTGTCCTAAATGATAGATTAATTGAAGAGCTGTGCGACCAGACTCCATTTAAAATCTGATGCTAGCTAGGTTTGAACAGGGTCTTCAGTACAGGAAAAAAGATCAATATTCGGCCAACCGAAAAATTCCTCATTAGCTTAACTGATCAATCAATCAACAACAATTTGTATAGCGCCAATATCCACAGCAAAATGCAATTATCAGTGGCACTATGACAATGTGCACATTAACTGCTGAGGTTAATTAACAATATGTTATATTAATGTAAGGTTCAACATCATCATTTTTAAAGTCTTTTTTTCCCCCATAACATAAAAAAAATTACATGCGTGTCAAAAACACTTAGTATGGGATGGAGAAGAGATAAGATTTTGATAAGTATATAATGTTGCAGACACTTAAATACACTGAATAAAATATTCAATGTAAGGTCCAACATGTGTAAAATGGATAAAACTGATTTATTTCAATCAGTCTCACATACTGTAGGATATTGATAACTTCATTCTTATTTTGAGAAATTAAACTTTTAAATTTAACTATTTGAAGATTTTTCAATATTTCAGTATCTTTATGAACTCACAACAACCACAACTTAAAGTCAGGCTCCGGAGGAAAACAATTTTTTGATATGTTGTCGAACTGATTTTTCTAAGACAGAAAAAAGTAGTTTGATCAAAAACTGAGCAACGGTGAATGAGAGACAGATTTTTGAATATTTAAAAACTGGGGGAAAAAGGTGTAAAAATAGACGGTTACACCCCTTTTTCAATCAGTTTTTAAATATTCCAAAATCTGTATCTCGTTCACCGTTCCCCAGTTTTTCGTCAAACAACTTTTTTCTGTCTTAGAAAAATCAGTTCTACAACATATCAAAAATTTTTTTTCCTCCGGTGTCTGACTTCAATTTTTATTGGATCTACACTCTAAAAACGCTAAATTGTTATTTGTTTTTTATTGGAGCACTAAAAACTGTCAGTGAGTAATGCCCCTGCTGATGACGTTCAGCGATTTGACAGCACTTTACTGAGGTTACCATCTGTACCACTTATTTGAGTGCAGTTAACAATGCACAATTTTCAATATGCTCAACTTGCATTAAACACAACTGTTATTATGCCTTAGATGTATTTATAGCGAGTATTCTAGTGTATATTCAATAATGATTGATTTAACAGTATATTACACTCATTGTCGTAAAATACTTGCTGATGTTGTAAGCCAATTAAGTTAGGGAAATCAATATGTAAAGCAAAGTTATTGTAATTAATACCAATTAAGAAAAATTCAAATATTATATTTGTGTTTGTTGATGTTCACCACTTAAAATGTTGACTGAATAGCATTCCACATACTTTAGTTACTGTAGTATCAATCAATTCTTTCAATATTAATCCCTTAAAGCAAATAAGGGAAAGTATAGGTAAAGGTAAAGGTGTCAATGTGCTGAATTGTGTATAGGTGTGGTCCTGACTACTGTAGAGAGGAGCTTATTCATGTTCACATCATTCCACAAGTACAGGGACTAAAATGAACCAGTGGCGGATAAAGAAATTTTAAATAGAGGGTGCCCAGGGAGGGACTTTTACAGACGGAGGGTGTATACCATCTCGGCCCTACCATGGTTGGAGCTGAGGCTAGAAAATATATAATTATGGCAAATCAAGATGGCCGGAATTTACACTCTCAGACCTAAATTTATTCTTAATTTTCCTTTTTTCTCTACTTTTTTCTAATTTTGAAAAATTGAGGGGATCCTAGGCCGGGTTGCCCCCCCCCCCATCGATGTAACCCCCTACTCTTCCGACAGATGCAATGTGTTCTCTAAAGTCTACATGAGACAAATGTGTATAGGACCTCCATTTTAAATACTTATGGGAGAACCCTTGGTTAGATACAACTGTCTTAGACACGATAATGTGTGGGGATCAAAACCACATTTTCCAGGGACAATTTTTAAATACGTCCTTAACCAAGAACACTTAGTTCTACAACCAGACCTCTATTTATTCACAATAAATTGTGAGGATCAAAAACATTTTTCAGTGGCAATTTCTAAATATGAATGAATCAAATTTGTTTGATATGAAAAACACTGTTTGGAGCAGAGCAATATATCTGTTGGCTATTTACAGGGTAAACATCAAAAAATATTCTGAATACTGACTGGGGATCAACTGATCAATGAGGCAGTATTGTACATGTGACTCATAAAATGATTGGTCTCCCTGGAAACAACATGATCTATGATGTAAATTTTGTCATGTGCAGGTTTCTTTCATAACAATATTCTGTATAGGCCTACTACTATATTACACTAAAACACTTTAAAAATGAGTAACTCTTGGAGTTACCACGTTATGTCGTTGATCACGAAGACTACTACCATATTCTAGAGGGCGTATCGATGTACCCCCTACTCTTCCGACAGATGCAATGTGTTCTCAGAAGTGTACATGAGCCAAATGTGTATAGAACCTCCATTTTAAGTACTTATGCGAGAACTCTTGGTTAGATACAACTGAACCCTGTTTTTTTTATACACGATAATGTGTGGGGATCAAAACCACATTTTTCAGGGACAATTTCATACGTCCTTAACCGAAAACACTTGGTTCTACAACCAGACCTCTATTTATTCACAATAAATTGTGAGGATCAAAAACATTTTTCAGTAGCAATTTCTAAATATGAATGAATCAAACTT